AAAAAAAAAAAACCAAACATCAAAAAAAACCCAATTAGCTAGGCATGCTGGTATGTGCCTGTAACCTTAGCACGCTGGGAGACCAAGGTGGGTGGATCGCTTGAGGGCAGTTCGAGAGCAGCCTGGGCAACATGGCAAAACCCTCTCTCTATAAAAAATACAAAAATCGGCCAGGCACGATGGCTCACACCTGTAATCCCAGACATTTGGGAGGCCGAGGCGGGCGGATCCCGAGGTGGGCGGATCCCGAGGTCAGGGGTTCGAGACCAGCTTGGCCAAAATGGTGAAACCCTGTCTCCACCAAAAATACAAAAATTAGCTGGGTGTGGTGGCAGGTGCCTGCAGTTCCCAGCTACTTGGGAGGCTGAGGGAGGAGAATCACTTGAACCCGGGACGCAGAGGTTACAGTTAGCTGAGATCGCGCTATTGCACTCCAGCCCAGGCAACAGTGTGAGACTCTGTCTCAAAAAAAAAAAAATACAAAAACAGCTGGGTGTGGTGGCTCATGCCTGGGTCCCAGCTACTCAAGCGGCTGAGGTAGAAGGATCACCTGAGCCAGAAAGGTTGAGGCTGCAGCGAGACGTCACTGTACCACCGCAATGCAGCCTAGGTGGCAGAGTAAGACCATGTCTCAGATGAATAAATTTAAAAAATAAAATGGCCGGGGGCAGAGGCTCACGCCTGTAATCTTAGCACTTTGGGAGGACGAGGCAGGTGGATCACAAGGTCAGGAGTTCAAGACCAGCCTGGCCAAGATGGTGAAACCCCATCCCTACTAAAAATACAAAAAATTAGCCAGGCGCGGTGGCAGGTGCCTGTAATTCCAGTTACTCAGGAGGCTGAGGCAGGAGAATCACTTGAACTCAGAGGGCGGAGGTTACAGTGAGCCAAGATTGCACCACTGCACTCCAGCCTGGGCAACAGAGTGAGACTCTGTCTCAAACAATAAATAACTAAATAAATAATAAAATAAAATTACAAAACTTTGATGCTGAAAATTTATGCATTCATTGGCCATTTGCATTCATTAACATAAAAGGTGTGCAGGTTACAATGCATTTTAAAAAGGGGGAGGCGACTAATCAACAAAGCTCCTAACCAAGAGCAGCAGCCAGCTAATATTAATATCTCAGCCCAGCATATCTCACAGAATCCAATTTACCTAACCAGTTTTAACAGTTCTCACGCAGACTCACAAATATTTCAGGAAAGTTCTACATAAAAATATTAACAATGGTTAACTGGGGTGATGAGATGGTGGTGATCGGATTTTTTCTTTTTCTATCTGTACTTTTCCATTTCCATATGTCATCCCACCCTCTGCATATATGCTATCTGTGTGAGGAAATCCTACACACGTCCCCATTACCATTTCTCGCTGGGACGTCCTCATATACTGGACACACCCCATAGTACAAGGGCGGTTCCTTAGACGCTGTCACTGCAGTTCCGTAGGTGTCGACGGCACTGGGGGGCACCGAGCGGGTCTCAGATGTCACAGCTTCCTCTTCGGGAGGATTCAGGCCCACACTGTAACCAAAATCTCTGTCTTCAGAAAAACCAGCCTGACCAGTTGGGTTCCCTTCAGCTGACTTCAAAATCCTTTGTGTGTCTTGGCTGAGAGCTGTGGCACCTGCCTCATGGTGGTCGAAAGAAAGCAGCCTTCCTCCTTGCTCCAGTAAAGCCTGAGCCAATTTTTTCTCAAAAATGAACCTTGTAGTTGACGTAATGGGTCCACATTTCAATCCAGCTTTAACGATTTCTTCTCTAAGGTCATCTGGATTCAGAAGTTTCAATCGAGCCAACACAGCATCCATTGTCATTTCACCTAGGCCCAAGACAAAAAAATCAAATAGAGTCACAAAATACTAACACCTGCTGAAGCTGGGTGGCAGGTACCTGGGTTCATTATTTAATGGCATCAGTTTATTTCATTAAAAACTTTTTTCTTGGCTGGGCGCAGTGGCTCATGCCTATAATCCCAGCACTTTGGGAGGCCGAGGTGGGCGGATCACCTGAGGTCAGGAGTTCGAAACCATCCTGGCCAACATGGTGAAACCCCATTTCTACCAAAAATACAAAAAATTAGCCGAGTGCAGTGGCAGACACCTGTAATCCCAGCTACTCGGGAGGTTGAGGCAGGAGAATGGCATGAACCCAGGAGGCGGAGGCTGCAGTGAGCCGAGATTGTGCTCCAGCTTAGACAACAAGAGCAAGACTCCAGATCAAAAAAAAAAAAAATTTTCTTCTTTTCCCAGGCAGGATCCACTTTTCATACAACCTCTCTCCTTACTATAAGCCACCAATTTTTTTTTTTTTTTTTTTTTTGAGGCAGAGTCTTGCTCTGTCACCCAGCCTGGAGTGCAGTGGCACCATCTCAGCTCACTGCAAACCTCCGCCCTCTTGGGTTCAAGCGATTCCTTGCCCCAGCCTCCTAAATAGCTGGGATTACAGGCACCCGGCATCACGCCGAGCTAATTTTTGTATTTTTAGTAGAGATGGGTTTCACCATGTTGGCCAGGTCTTGCACTCCTGACCTCAGGCGATCTGCCTGCCTTGGCCTCCCAAAGGTGTTGGGACTACAGGCGTGAATGTTTTTTTTTTTTTTTTTTTTGAGACGGAGTCTCACTATGTCTCAGGCAGGCTAGAGTGCAATGGCGCAATCTCGGCTCACTGCAACCTCCACCGCCTGGGTTCAAGCGATTCTCCTGCCTCAGCCTCCTGAGTAGCTAGGATTACAGCATGTGCCACCATGCCCAGTCAATTTTGTATTTTTGCAGAGACAGGGTTTCGCCATGTTGGTCAGGCGGTCTCGAACTCCCGACCTCAGGTGATCCGCCTGCTTTGCCTCCCAAAGTGCTGGGATTACAGGCATGAGCCACTGTGCCCAGCCCATTATATTCTTTAAAAAAAAAAAAAAAAAAGTCCAGGCACGGTGGCTCATGCCGTAATCCCAGCATTTTCGGAGGCCAAGGCAGGCCGATCACCTCAGAGATTCGAGACCAGCCTGGCCAACACAGTGAAATCCCGTCTCTACTAAAAACAAAAATTAGCCGGGCATTGTGGCACATGCCTGTAATCCCAGCTACTCGGGGAGGCTGAGGTAAGAGAATTGCTTGAACTTGGGAGGTGGAGTTGTAGTGAGCCAAGATCGCACCACTGTACTCCAGCATAGGGGACGAGAGCGGACCTCATCTCAAAAAAAAATACCCAAGCATAGTGGTGCACGCCTACGGCCCCAGCTACTCAGGGGCTGAGGCAGGAGGATCACCTGAGCCTGGGAGGTGGGGCCACCGTGGAGCCGAGATGGCACCCCTGCACTCCCAGCCTGGGCGACAGAATCAGACCCTGTCCTCAACAACAAATAAAAGGATGGGGGGATAAATATTTCAGAATTTAAGTTTCCATGAGGTTCTGACTTTTAAAACATTTGTTGATTGACATACTCAAGAATAAGTAAGCGGGCAAGGTGGCTCACACCTGTAATCGCAGCACTTTGGGAGACCAAGGTGGGTGGATCACGAGGTCAGCAGTTCGAGACCAGCCCAGCCAAGATGGTGAAACCCTGTCTCTACTAAAAACAATACAAAATTAGCCAGGCGCGGTGGCAGGCGCCTGTCCCAGCATACTTGGGAGCCTGAGGCAGAAGAATCACTGGAACCCAGAGGCAGGGCTGGCATCGCCCCACTGCACCCCAGCCTGGGCGACAGAGCAGACTCCGTCTCAAAAAAAAAAAAAAAAAAAAAGAAACAAATAAGTAAATAAACAAAAAGATGGGGGACACCCAAATGGAATACCAGCCAGAAGAAACAAACCTAACTGGTTTACAAGTGAGTAACACACAGGAAGCTAACCTACATAACTTTGGAAAACTGAGTGACTAAAGTGCTCTAAGGAGAAAGACAAAAAGAAGTGTGGCCATTACAGTGTGAACAGCCTCTAAGCAGTAGGTGTTTTCACAATGCTGTAAGTTAGCACACCTACAGCTATTTTCTGTGGACTCTAGGGCAAAGCAAATCATTTGAATACATGCTGGCTGATGAGAGCCAGGACTCTCCATGACAGAAAGGAAAGTGGGAGTGAGAACAGGGTTTCATCAAATCATTCCTGTAAAGGGCAAGAGAGTAAGCATCTCAGACTCTATGAGCCAAAGGCCGTGTAAGTGCTCAAGAACAGCCACAGGCAGGGTGTGACAGCTCACACCTGTCATCCCAGCGCTTGGGGAGGCCAAGGCGGGAAGATCACTTGAGTCCAGGAGTTCAAGACCAGCCTGGGCAATGTGGCGAGACCCTCTCTACAAAGACTTTAAAAATTAGCTGAGTGTGGTGAGGTACACCTGTGCTTCCAACTACTTGGGGAGCTGAGGCAGGAGGATAAATCAAGCCCAAGAGTTTGAGGATGCAGTGAGCCCTGTTTGTGCCACTGCACTCCAACTGGGCAAACAGAGCCAGTGTCTCCAAAAAAAAAAAAAAAAAAAAGAACAGCCACAGATATACACAAACAAAAGGGTATGGTTGTATTCCAGTAAAACTTTACTATACTTAGGAAAATAGATGGGGGCCAGTTTGGATCAGTTTGCTGACTCTTGTATTAGAATAAACCCAGGGGCCCGGGCATGGTGGCTCATGCCGGTAATCCCAGCACTTTGGGAGGCCAAGGTGGGTAGACCATTTGAGGTGAGGAGATTGAGACCAGCCTGGCCAACATGGTGAAACCCCGTCTCTACTAAAAATACAAAAATTAGCCAGGCGTGGTGGCGTGCACCTGTCATCCCAGCTACTCAGAAGGCCAAGCAGGAGAATCGCTTGAACTGGGCAGGCAGAGGTTGTAGTGAGCCTTGGCCTGGACAACAAAGTGAGACTCCATCTTAAAAAAAAAAAAAAAAAGAATAAACCCACAGACGTTGCATTGAAATTGGAAGTATCAGTATGATCACATGGTCTTTGACATATCGATGGGTAAAGATGTGAGAAACAGCTAGGTCTGAAGACTGGGTAATGTTACATTAACAATTTTTTTTTTTTTTTTTTTTTTGAGATAGAGTCTTGCTCTGTCACCCAGGCTGGAGTGCAATGGCACAATCTCTGCTCACTGCAACCTCCACCTCCCGGGTTCAAGCAATTCTCCTGCCTCAGCCTTCCGATTAGCTGCGACTACAGGCACCTGCCACCACGCCCAGCTAATTTTTTGTATTTTTAGTAGAGGCTGCCTCACCACATTGGCCAGGCTGATCTTGAACTCCTGACCTCGTGTTCCACCTGCCTCGGCCTCCCAAAGTGCTGGGATTACAGGCGTGAGACACGGCACCCAGCCGAGTATGCAACTTTTGAGATTGGCTTTTCCTAGTCAGCATAATGCCCTTGAGATCCACCTGCGTGGCAGAGTGGACTGCAGCGGAGTGGCACCCCGGGGTCCACCTCTAGAGGGACATTTGAGTTATTTCAGTTTCTGGCAATTACAAATAAAGTTGCTATGAACATCAAATACGGGTTTTTGTGTGAAAATCGTTTTCATTTCTGTAATAAAAGCTCAGGAATGCAGAGCAGATTTAACTTCCTAAAAACCTGCCAGGCTGATTCCCAGAGTAGCTGCACCACTTACCATCCCCACTCGCAATGCACGAGACCCAGTTTCTCTAAATCTCTGTTGACTTGTGGTAATATCAGTATTTTTTTATTTCAGCCCCTCTTAAAACACCACCCCCAGCCACCTTGTCCATAGCTCTGCTTGGATGATGCTGGTGGTGACGGTAACAGAGCACTCAGAGGTGCTTAACACATACCAAGTGCTGAACTTACCCAACTCCCAAAAAATCTTAACTAGGTACTACTATAATCCCTATTCCTAAACGAGCAGGCTGAAGACAGGTTAAGGCCACAGCAATAAGTGGTAGGGCCGGGCGCGATGGCTCACACCTGTAATCCCAGCTACTCGGGAGGCTGAGGCAGGAGAATGGTGTGAACCCGGGAGACGGAGGTTGCAGTGAGCCCAGATCACGCCACTGTACTCCAGCCTGGGCGACAGAGCGAGACTCCGTCTCAAAAAACAAACAACAACAGCAACAAAAATAGAAAAATTAGCCGGGCTTGTTGGCATTCACGTTTAATCCCAGCTACTCGGGAGGCTGAGGCAGGAAAATCGCTTGAACCAGGGAAGCGGAGCTTCCAGTGAGCCGAGATCCTGCCACTGCACTCCAGCCTGGGCGACAGAACAAGACTTCATTTCAAAAAAAAAAAGAAAGTGGGTAGGGCCAGGACACAAACTCACACAATCCGACAGGAATCCCCACTCAATCATTAGAAAGCACCGCTTCTCAGTGACTAACAGTCTGACAATTTAGAGTAAAAACAAACTCAGTTTCTCCCACTAGACTCTCGCAACATGCTTCAGACGCCAGATATGCGGCGGTTTTCTCGCCACGAATCACGCAGGTCATCAGTTCTGCAGTGGACACAGGCTGGGTGTCGTCTGTGCAGTTCCATCCTAACTCAGTCATCTATTCTGACAGCATCTTCCTGGACATACCAGCAGACCCCACAGGTTAAGCGCTCAGCCCCACAAGACTGTCCCCCACTTCCAGTGCCCAGGTTGTTTGACCTGCGCTTCGGACCGACTGGGTGTAACCGGGTAACCTCCTCAGGTTGTGTTAATTTGCTAAAGCGGCCCCCGAACTCAGAGACATGTTTTACTCACATTTACCAGCATAGGATAAAGATTACAAAGAATACAGGTGAAGAGATGCGTGAGGTAAAACCGGGGGGAAAGGCTTGAAAATTCAAGGCCTCTCTGGGCACCGCCTCCAGGAATCCCCACGTACTATCTGGAAGCTCCCTCAACCCAGCCCTTTTGGGTTTTTACAGAAACTTCATTTCACAGGCATTGGTGATCAGCTCAACCTCCAGCCCTCTCCCCTCCCCGGAGGTTGCGGGTGGGGCTCAAAGTCCCCAGAACCTCTAACTCAGCCTTGGTCTTTCCTGCGACCAGTCCCATCCAGAAGCTCCCTAAGGGCTGCCGACCACCAGTCCACTCAGCCTACAAAAGACATCACGTTGGAGGTCCCCGGGATTTCAGTTGTAGGCCATGAAAAGCGGATGGAGGTGAAACACACAGTTCACAGTATCAGTTACCTCAAACTTAAAATGACCAAAACCCACCTCCGCTCTCCACATCACCCAGACCCGACAGTCTACCCCAAAGCAATAAATGGACACCTTCTCCCGTTTCCTCCCGCCCCAAACCCCTAAGTCACATAGGCCTTTTCCGTCTCTGCCTCCTGTTCAATGACCAGTAACCGCAGGGGGTTCACATTCCAAACACATCCGGGACCCAGGGCTTCCTACCCGCGCCGCCCCCCTTTGGGCCATCCCTCCCCAGGTCTCCATCGACCGCAGCAAGGTTCTCCGCTAACGCCTCGCCGGGCTCCCGCCGCCTTCCCCGGAGGCCGCTCCCGAGCCCAGAAAGCTCTCATCCCCGAACCCGGCGTGGCCCCTGCCGCCCCTGCCCCGGGAAGCCAGGTTCCCCGCAACTGCCCTTTCCGCGGCCGGAATGGCCTTTCTCGAGCGGCCCTGGGAGAAAGGAATGGCCTTTCTCCCGGCGGCCTCGCCCAACTGCTGCCGGCACCGGGAGCTCGAGGGGCGCGGCCCAGGACGGGGTCCCGGGGAGGGCGTCGGGGCGGGGAAGCGACCGGGATGCAGCGGCCCAGCGACCGCCTGGGCCTTACCTGGGGCGGGGGCGGCGGCCGCGGGCGGCGGAGGGACTGGGGTCCCACTGCGGCCCAGACCCCCAGGCCGCGGGCCCAGCCGCCGCACCAGCCACCGCACAGCGATCAGCAGCACCGAGGCGCCTAGCAGCTCCCAGGCCAGCGCCGCCCACTCGGCCGCCGCCAGCCGCGGCCACAGCATCGCCGCACCCCGGGCCGCAGCCGCCTAGGAGCCCGCACCCTGCGCCGCGCCCGTTCCAGGACCCCGCGCCGGGCTGCCCGCGCCCTGCCTGACGGCGCCACGCTAGAGGCGGCCGGGGTGGCGCGGGGGACACGGGCGGCGGCCCCGCTCACGAAGGTCCGGCGAGGGCGCCGCGGTAGCCCCGGCCCTGGACCCCAAGCGGGCGGGGACGGGCTAGCGGACGGGCGGGCGCGGGAGGCGGGGCGCGGGCAGCCCGGCGCGGGGTCCTGGGAACTGCGCGGCGCGGAGAGGGTAATGTGTGGGCGGGGGCCGGGGCGGGGCTTGTTTACTGCCTCCCGGGCCCGGGCCTGGCCTCCGCGGGGCCAGGTTTGTGAGCTCCGGGCCCCAGGACCGTTTGCGGCCGCCGCCGCGTCCTGGAGCTGGAGTGAGGAGGCGCTTCTCACTTTCCTGCGAACCCGCAGAACGGGCGGCCGGCGCTGGGGAGGCCCCCGGAGCTTCCCGCTTCTTCACCAAGCGACCCTGACGCGCAGTCGAAAGCTTGGATTTTGCCGGGCGCGGCGGCTGCGTCCGGAGTCCCAGCGCCTTGGGAGGCGAGGCGGGAGGATCCCCTCGGCCCAGGAGTTCGAGACCAGCCTGGGCAAATATTTTGAAAGTCATGGTAAAAGCCGCAGTTACTTTTGCACCAACCTAATTGGGAGACCCTGTCCCGAAAAAGGGAGGAGGATTTTCCTGTATACAATTTAGATTTTTTTTTTTTTTTTGATGCGGAGTCTTGCTCTGTCGGCCAGGCTGGAGTGTAATGGCACGATCTCTGCTCACTGCAGCCTCCGTCTCCTGTGCTCAAGCGATTCTCCTGCCTTTCCTCCCAAGTAGCTGGGATTACAGGCGCCCGCCACCCCGCCCGGCTAATTTTTGCATGTTTAGATGTTGGCCAGGCTGGTCTCAAACTCCTGACGTCAAGTGATTGGCCTCCCAAAGTGCTGGGATTACAGGCGTGAGCCACCGCACCCCACCTACTTTAGATATTATGAAATGAAAATGAAAGACCTGAAAAATATAATTGATATCCTTGGTTAAAAACATAATTGATCTGAGCGAGGTGGCTCAGGTCTGTAGTTCTAGCAACTCTGGAGGGTGAGGGGCGAGGGTAGTTTCAGTTCGGGAGTTCGAGGCTGCTGTGAGCGTGATCTCGCCTGTGAGTAGCCACTGCATGCCAGCCTGACCGACATAGCAAGACCCCATCTCTTAAAAAATATCATTGGATGGTACTAATGGTTGGTTGGGCACTACAGAATAAAGGGTCAGTACATTTGAAGATGGGTGAAATCGAAATGTAAACCACGATGAGATGCTGCTTTAAATCCACCAGAATGGCTAAAATTTAAAAATTGGCAGTATCAAATTTTGCTGGCAAGAGCGAACACTGAGTTAACCACTTTGGAAAATAGTGAGGCAGTTTCTTACAAAGTTAAACGTATACCTCTGCTGTATTCTGAGTGTCTCTCCCCAGTGTTCGTATGTTGAAACCGTAACCCCCAAGGTAATGGTATTAGGATGTGGGGCCTGTGGGAGGTGATAGGTCAGGGGGCAGAGCCTTATATACTTTACTTAGAAGAGGCTCAAGAGGGCTGGGCGCGGTGACTCACGCCTGTAATCCCAGCACTTTGGGAGGCCAATCACTTGACTTTGGGAGGCCAAGGCAGGAGGATCACAAGGTCAAGAGATGGAGACCATCCTGGCCAACATGTGAAACTCCATCTCTACTGCTGGGTGTAGTGGCGCACGCCTGTAACCCCAGCTACTCAGGAGGCTGAGGCAGCAGAATCGCTTGAACCAGGGAGGCAGAGGTTGCAGTAAGCCGAGATCGCACCTCTGCACTCCAGCCTGGCAACAGAGCAAGATTCTGTCTCAAAAAAAAAAAAAAAAGTATGGTGCTTCAAACTAGGAACACCCCAAAAGTATGTCAGTAGGTGGGTAGATAGATTGTGAAATTGTCATAGGCACATACTATCATTATCACATGGTTATATACTATTTAGGAACGACATGGCTGAGTCTCAAAAGTACACCACGAAAAAGAAACCAAACTCAAGAGTGCATACTATATAATTCCATTTATGCCTTTTTTTTTTTTTTTTTTTGAGATGGAATCTCACTCTGTGTCCCAGGCTGGAGTGCAGTGGTGTGATCTCGGCTCACTGCAAACCTCACCGCCTGCCCGCACCCTGCCACCCACACCAGTAAAAGCAATTCTCCTGCCTCAGCCTCCTGAGTAGCTGGGATTATAGGTGCGCACCACCATGCCCAGCTAATTTTTGTATTTTTAGTAGAGACAGAGTTTTGCCATGTTGGCCAGGCTGGTCTCAAACTCCCGACCGCGGGTGATCTGCCCATCTCAGCCTCCCAAAGTGCTGGGATTACAGGCGTGAGCCTCCCCGCCCAGCTGCGATTTATGTCTTAACAGCAAAGCTTGTGGTGAGAGAACTCAGAACAGCAGCTGACGAACTGGGGTGGTTAGATGGAAAGGGGCACAAGGAGCTTTCTCCTGTGAAGGAAATACTCTGTATCTCGTCTGGGTTGATAATAAAGGCACATATTTGTTAAAACTCATCAAAGTTCTGGCTACAAGGTTCATAAATGGGAAGAAAAACTCATCAAACTGTATGCTTAAAATATGCCTAAGTTTTAAAAAAAAGAATAAGGAGTACCTTGTTAGAATGAAACCTGCCATTGTTGTTTTTGATTTCTAGGTACTGTGAGGACAGATCTCTGTGCTCAGCGCCTCCCAGTTTTGACCCTTTATGAACGTGTGCCATCGTGTGGTGACAAGAGCACAGGCTCTGGGCTGCCACCTGGGTGGGTGTCCGGTCTGCTGCCTGCCTCTGGGTAACTGTGGGTGAATCTTTTCCCTGTGCCTCAGGTTTCTCATTGGTAAAATGAGGACAATCATAGTATCTATCTGACTGGGCACAGTGGCTCACGCCTATCATCCCAGCACCTTGGGAGGCCAAGGCAGGAGGATGGCTTGAGCCCAGGAGGTAGAGACCAGCCTGGGCAATATGGCGATACACTGTCTGTACTAAAAATTTTTAAAAATTAGCTGGATGTGGTGGCACATGCCTTGAGGAGGGAGGATCACTTGAGCCTGGGAGGTCAAGGCTGCAGTGAGCCAAGATTGCGCCATTGCACTCCAGCCTGGGGGAGAGACCCTGTCTCAAAAATAAACAAACACACACATACATACATACATAGATAAAAAGGTAATTACGTAAGTCCTTGCTACGGAGCCTCCATACATGAAGGACTTTAATAACGAGTTGTTATACACTTTTATAAACTATAAATTTAAGTTTGACGTATATGCATGCTTTATAGGGGTGGCCGGGTTCTCGCCCGTCACAGGGATCTTGTCATCTGAATCATAAACCCAAGCAGCTCTGGGAGAACTGAGAGCTCATTTGTTAAATGGTCAGCTGTAGTCGACTGTTGCCACCCAGCACGCACTCTCCAGCCTTAACAACAGAAGCTCCCAGTGGGCGGTGGAGACGCTCCCGTCTCCTAAACACATCCAGCGGCCATGTGACTAAGCAAAGGCAGCGGAGAGTGAATGGATGGTGACAGACGCGGCCACGCAGCCGGCCTTCTGCGAGCGCCTACAATGCACATCCCTGTCCTTTCTCTCCCTACTCACCTCCGAGAGGGACGGAAGGTAGGACTGGGAGAGCTGTTCTCAGGCTGGTGGACGCTGTGATTAGCGGAGACGGAAGGCACTTTTGTTCTCGGCACCGTGAAGCTGTCCTGGTCAGTCCCGTTTCCATGCTTGAGTGTCTGTGGTGCAGCAGCTCCACCCTCCTTGACACCAGGACTTCTGTGGAATCCAGGTAAGCAGCTAGGGTCCTGGTAGGGCCATGCCCTCACCCCCATCTAATGCATCCACTCCCAGTTAAATGAGAACAGAATAATCACAGGAAAACATGGAGAACAACTCCACTGTTCTGAAGCCAACCCTGTATTAGCCACTGTTTAACGTTAGGTAGAAATGAAAAAATTTGAGATGTAAACTCCTGCAGGTAGAAGTGGATTTCTTGTGAGTTAACAAAATGAAACTTACTAGAATCAACGGCCTTTTCTGAGAGCCATTCTGATTTTATTCCTAGTTGTAGTTTAACTTCTACTTCGTTTCTGATCCCAGATCACACAGGGGCCGTGTGAGCCCCAGGGACTCAGTGGAAGCTGCAGTCTCATAGCTCGAGGATTTACTCCCAACGGGCTGGGATAAGCCCTAGATGAGCAGGGAGTAGCTAATTTTTTCTTCCCCTTCTTTTTCAATATTAATTGGATTTCCTTAAAAGCCGTGTCCATTAAGTCTGTTATCAATGGCTATTTAGCACTTGTGGAAACCCAGCCATATGTTACATACAGTAGGGTTTTGTCAGGAAAACAGTCCAGGCCAGGTGGTTCAGCAGAGAAAATGCAGGGGCAGGGACGGCAATTGCAGGACGCCAGAGGCCTTCAGGTGGAGATAACGGCCCGTAGTGGAAATGCAGACTCCAGAACCTGGTAGAACCAGGGCTGATGCTGAGGAATGAGGGTGGCAGGGGAGCTGCGACCGTGACCATCAGACGCCCAGCCACAGGGACTGCCTGATGCAGACAGGCGGCGGCAGTGGGGTTGGGGGGCGGGCGTCTGTTTTCTGGGTGAAGATGGGGCATTTTGAAAGCATTGGGAAGATAAACCTGACGTGTCCATCCAGTATCCAGAAATGCACATTTAACGCTCAGAAGGAAATCTTGCAACAATTGAAGTGCTGTTGGGAGGCTCTGTGAGCAGAGATAAGACTGTCCTGTGCGTTTCAGGACATTTAGATGTGACACTCAAAACTATTTCACTGTGGGCCAGGCGCGGTGGTTCACGCCTGTAATCCCAGCACTTTGGGAGGCAGAGGCAGGTGAATCACCTGAGGTCAGGGGTTCGAGACCAGTCTGACCAAAATGGTGAAACCCCATCTCTACCAAAATACAAAAATTAGCCGGGTGTGGTGGCGGGCGCCTGTAATCCCAGCTACCCGGGAGTCTGAGGCAGGAGAGTTGCTTGAACCCAGGAGGTAGAGGATGCAGTGAGCTGAGATCGAGACACTGCACTCCAGCCTGGGCAACAAGAGTGAAACTCCGTCTCAAAAATATAAGTATTTCATGTGAAGGTGGAATCCAACCCCGACAATGTGTAGAAAAGCCCAAAAATCTCCTACACAAATTCCTGAGCCGAGGGCTACGGAGATGAGCATCCTGGGAATGCCAAGGACACGCTGCCTTCGAGGCTAGAGGTTCCCACCTCATCAGTAATGGAGGCATCGCCAGCCCTCAGCTGCCTTGGGAGCCCCAGATCGGCCTTCACGCCTCCCAGAAGCTCCACCATTTCAGCCCTTAACTGGAGTCCAGACCTTAGAGACGTGGACACTGCGAAGGTCACCAGCAGCAAGTGGTGGAGCCAGGGGGACGGCTGTAGGACGCCCCCACACACAGGCGAGCAGAGGGCGTTGCAAACATCGGCAGAGGCGGCCCAGCAGCAGTTTAACATCTCGCCCTGTGTCCAGGAGAAAGGCCACTGCCCAAGTACACTTTTTTTTTTTTTGAGACGGAGTCTCCCTCTGTCACCCAGGCTGGAGGGCAGCGGCACGAACTTCAATCACTGCATCCTCCGCCTCCCAAGTTCAAGCGATTCTCCTGCCCCAGCCTCCTGAGTAGCTGGGGTTACAGGAACCCGCCACCATACCCGGCTAATTTTTGTATTTTTAGTAGAGATGGGGTTTCGCCATGTTGGTCAGGCTGGTTTCAAACTCCTGACCTTGAGTGATCCACCTGCCTCGGCCTCCCAAAGCGCTGGGATTACAGGCATGAGCCACCACGCCCGGCCTGCTTCCTAATACTACCTGAGGTCTCAGATTTCCAAGTGATCTGGTGATTTTTAAATCCTGAGCCTCCCATCAGCGACAACCCAAATTCCTGACAATACCTGACGCCACTCTAAGCCAGGAAGAAGTGACCCATCCCTGCCTGCCAAAACCGCTCCTGACACCCACTGCTGAGCTCTGTGGCAGGATGCAGCATGGAGCTTCGAGCTGCTGAGACAGACACAGCTGGAAATACACCTGTCAGCCAGTCAGTGCAGTGCCTGCAAACACGTAGCAACTCCATGGAGAAAAGGAAAACGTTCAGATATAAACATGTCCCCTTAAGGGTTATTATAAACAAAAAAAAGTTATATCCTTAATATTTCAGAAAGTTAAGGCCACAGAAGGTGGTCAGGGAATTTTTACTCCGATCTGTGTAGTAATTCCCTGGGTACAGAAGCGGGTAAAGCAGTCACAGGAAAAAGTACATTAATCCCACAGGGCCAAGCCCGGCGACTACCACTTCCTGTCCCTTTTCTGTACTTTTTAAACCATGGTGGTGTCTACTAATGTCTAACTGAAAACTCTGTATCTGGTTAACGTGTTTTTTTTTTTTTTTTTTTTGAGCTAGAGTCGCACTCTGTCATCCAGGCTGGAGCGCAGTGGCGCAATCTCAGCTTACTGCAACCTCCGCCCCCCGAGTTCAAGCAATTCTTCTGCCTCAGCCTCCTGACTAGTGGGGATTACAGGCACACACCACCACGCCAGGCTAATTTTTGGGTTTAGTAGAGGTGAGGTTTCACCATGTTGGCAGGGCTGGTCTTAAACTACTGACCTTAGGTGACCCACCCCCGCTCAGCCTCCCAAAGTGCTGGCATTACGGGCCTGAGCAACTGCACCCAGTTTACACCTGGTTAACTCTTAATGATCAAAATCAAAGTACGGATGGAAAAGACAGAATCTGGGAAGTCACATTGCTGAGGTCTGAGAGTCATGACCCCGCCGTCACCGCGGAGGCCCAGCAGAGGGCAGCACCTGCATGATGGGCCCAGCTGAGGCGGCGCCGCACAGAGCAGCCACCATCCTTCCCCTGCTCCACCGGGAAGCTCGCTCCCCCTCCTGTATTCCTGGCAAATGGCAACGGGCGAAGTGTGGGCCAAGGGCGGAGGAGGCGGTGCCATGCGTCTGCTGTTGTCACAAGCCACAGAAGTTGGCTTCACTCCTGCCTGAAACCGGCAGGGCACTAGAATTCTCTTTTAAAGCATGTGTTGAACAGAGTGTGTAATAACATGAGATTAAAAAGTTACTCTCCAAACAACAAAATATAAATATTAAAATGAAGCTTCCAATGAATATGAAAATCTTTACCAAAAAATAGTTTATTGCACAAAATTTAAGGAATTCCCAAGCACACTTACATTTGTAAAAAATCAACGTGCTTTTTAAAGTTACACTTTGTCAGACAAGGTGACCCCTTTCCCCAGAACAGCCACAACTTGAGGGCTCTCTTTTGTGAGGAAATTTTTAATAAAAATGAGTAACTCAAAAGCACTGAATTTTCCAGACCCTCTAACACATTTCCCTCAGGATCCTGTGAGAGCCTGAGATCACTGTATGATGACATTTGCCTGGACCTTCCAGTCAGTGAGCTGAGAACGCCTCACACCACAGCATCACTCAAGTCCTCACGTCAGAGGGCTCCTCGAAGGGAGGCTCCAGGACGGTTCTCTCTCAGATTTGCTGGTCCCCTCCCCTCTGAGAATCTTCACATAAACAACATTCTGTTTTTGTTTTTAAAGACCTCAGGGAACTAGAACTCTTATGTTGTGGGAACCCTACACCAAGGAGAGCTGAGGACAAACTCCCTAGCACAGCACAGTGCGGCATGGACTGCGTTCTGGGGGGCAGGGCCCTGCTGGACCCACCTGAGGAGAGTCTGTTTCACATCCTATCAAAATCACTGCCTGATCCATAGTGCAGAGGTTGGGAACAGGGGTGTGAGTCCGTAAGACCCGTAGCATCCATCTCACACACACCATGGAAAAACACATGAAAACCAAGTTACGTTGTTTTGGGAGCGTCAGAAAAACAACCAGTGACGTCGTGAAGTGCCCAAGCCTGTTGTGACACACAGCGTGGGGACAAACACGCCGCATAATGCTCTGGGGACCCTGTTTTCTAAGCAATACTCCCGACTTCACTGCCTTTTCCATGAGGATATTCCATCATTCCCACTGCTGCCCACAAGAAGAAAATAACTCAAACTTTACGCACTGAAGTAACTCTGGGAGGTAGAAGTGCCGGGAGAGTCCCTTGGAGATAAGAAAAAAACCTCGACAATAAAGAAAAAGCTGGCAATTTAAAACTTCAACTTCAGTCGGGGGTGGTGGTTCACGCCTTTAAACCTAGCACTTTGGGAGGCTGAGGTGGGCAGATCACCTGAGGTCAGGAGTTCGAGACCAGCCTGGCCAAAATGGTGAAACTCCACCCCCATAAAAATACAAAAATTAGCCCGGTGTGGTGGCGGGCACTGTAGTCCCAGCTACTCGGGAGAATGAGGCAGAAGAATGGCTTGAACCCGGAAGGCGGAGCTTGCAGTGAGCCGAGGTCACACCACTGCACTCCAGCCTGGGCGACAGAGCGAGACTCTGTCTCAAAAAACAAACAAAAAACCCAACTTCCTCTTTTAGGCATCTTAAGAAAGAAAGCCTGAAGGCAGTGTCCGTGTGAACACAAGAGGTCTCAGATCCAGAAGCACAAGCCGTGCATGAAAACACCAGAAGACTCACCGTGGAGAGCGAGGGCAGCCAGGCCCTGCCAAACCAGAGGGGGCCCTGGCACCGGTGGCCACAGAGCACCGGGAAGGTATCACGCCCGAGGGCACACGCAGGAAAAGCGGGGTGAGAAACACAGAGCTACCTTCCCTTGAGTATTTTCACAATTAGTTTGTCCTAAGAGAAAAAAAAAATACACGGTGAACATCGCTCACTCAAGGACTTTCCATGAGAAGTCGCTCCCCATCGAATGTGTGTGATTTCTTGATTTTAATTTTTAAAAATTTTCTTATTTTTTTGAGATGGGAGTCTCGCTCTGTTGCCCAGGCTGGAGTGCAATGGCGCGATCTCGGCTCACTGCAAGCTCCACCTCCCAGGTTCAAGCCATTCTCCTGCCTCAGCCTCCTGAGTAGCTGGGATTATAGGCGTGCACCACCACACCCAGCTAAGTTTTCTATTTTTAGTAAAGACAGGGTTTTGCCATGTTGGCCAGAGTGGTCTGGAACTCTTGACCTCAGGTGATCCACCCGCCTCAGCCTCCCAAAGTACTGGGATTACAGGCGTGAGTCACCACGCCCGGCCCAATTTCTTGATTTTAATATTAAAACAAAGGGGTAGTGCAGCCCAAATAAATAAGAATGTAAATTACTGTATTTTTCTTTTCTAATGGTACAAGAACAATTTAGTAAATAACATCTTCAACTTAACATAAAAAGGATATATTTATAATGAAATTTTCAAGTATTATTTCAAAATTAACCCTGTACAAATGATATATATATTTTGGAAGTCCTAATACTTGCTAGAGAATATTTTTTAAATACCAAACATCTTTGTGGTTAATGCTACCTTAACCTTACCAATTAACCTTCTAAAAGTATATTACAACAGAACACAAGTAGCATAAACATACCATACTGTTTTCTCCACAAAACAGACACAAGATACGGACATGAGCACATCTGGCCTGGCCAGTGACACTCAGAACCTCGTTTCAGACCCATATCTCTGCAAAGGAGGCCACACGGACCCATTCTCTCTCTCTCCTCATACAATAAATATTATTTTAGATTTTCTTAACAAACTAGGGGACAACTTACAGACCCCAACTCTCGCAGTGTCGGCAATGTTTCAGGAGTTGGGGTGGGAAACGGAAGATCTCACACACGTAGTGCTGATTCTAAATAAGGCATCTGTTTCTGAGACACCTGGGGAGAGCACAGCCACCTTCCTCACGGTGCTGGCCTGTCTCTCCCGGAAATCGCCTCTGCTCTCCACATGATGCTGGTGTAAGCACAAAGGACCCAGGACTGCTCTTGGTGACTGCACGAGTACAGGCGCTCCCTCAGACACTGGTGAAGATTTTCACTTGGGCATAGAAGTGTGAGGCTTGTTACCACCTGCTATCTACACCTGGCTGTGGCTCCAGGAGAAACGGCAGGAGTCGCTGCAGGGAGCCCCTGGCCTGCTCTCCTCCTCCTCCTCCACCTTCCTTCCTCTCCCTCTGGCCTCTCCCTGTGCCCCACAAAGGTCGGATCAGATACGGGGCCTCAGTGTCCTTGTGCCTCCTGATGGCCTTCAGGCCTGACTAAGGGTCCAAGCTGCCCCTTCCCGGTGGCCAGCCATGGTGGAATCACACAGGACCAGTGGCCTGAGAGGAAGAGACCGGCAGGAAGGAAAGACCCTTAGCAACAAAGTAAAACCAGAACAGAGGACCTTTCTGTGTAAGAATATTTGGCTTTAGAAGGTAAATAAAATAATTATATTTCTTAGAACAGAATTTTCTGACATCCCTAAATCCTACAGGTAAATTATTCCCAACAAATTTTCAAAAGGCAATCAATAATAAGACAAATAGGTTCTTCTTAAATAATATGAGCATACGCTTGTTAAAGATTGGGTTACAGGCTGAGCGCGGTGGCTCATGCCTGTAATTCCAGCACTTTGGGAGGCTGAGGCAGGCGGCTCACTTGAGGTCAGGAGTTCGTAACCAGCCTGACCAACACGGTGAAACCCCATCTCTACTAAAAATACAAACATTAGCCTGGCATAGTGGCGAGCGTCTGTAGTCCCAGCTACTCGAGAAGCTGAGGCAGGAGAATGGCGTGAACCCGGGAGGCGGAGCTTGCAGTGAGCCGAGATGGTGCCACCGCACTCCAGCCTGGGCGACAGAGCGAGACTCCATCTCCAAAAAAAAAAAAAGATTGGGTTATGATCTTCATTGTCTACGTACACATCCTATGGTGGGATGGCTATCCAAAAAAACAAGCAAAAAGGTGCAAATAAAATTTCATTTCTGCAGAAAAGTAAAGCTCTTACTGAACGGAACAGGGAACTGAGACCGCAGCCGGCCGGGCCGGGCGCTGGTGCCGCACACCCCGTCGTGCAGCCTCTCCCCATCACCTGCACAGAGCAGCGTCGGTGACCGCTCGGAAGACATGTCCTACAAGTAACTCTTCAGACACGTTCGAAGCTCCTTGCCAAGAGCCTATTAGGCTTTTAAGATTTGGTCATTCCATGGGAAAAGCTAATTGTAATCTTCGAATGTTTTTCTAATCCTTGGCTCTCATTCTGTTATATATTTTACTCCTTGTTAAAGGCAAAACAAAATTTAAATTTCATGTCTTAGAAAAACATCAGCCACACAATCGAATAAATAACATTGATAAGAGAGCATTCCGGACAGCGGTACACGGAGGCGAGTCCGCAGCAGTCACTGTCCTGGCCCTTCTTTGGAAGCCCTGCTCTGACTGTGTCTCTGGGCATTGCCACGTGGGTTGGCATGACCCCCAGGGGGCGCGGGGCTGGCAGTGGCTGGTTCCACCGGAGTCCACGAGGACAGAGACTCGTGCACCGTGAGGGTGTGCTCCTCCATCTGGCGCTGCAGGCTGTCCATCTCCTGCCTGGGACAGAAGAAGGAAGGCGGCCCAGATCACACATGTGCCAGGCAGAACGTGCCACCCGTGGGCAGCCTCGCTCGCTAGCACCTGAGTGGAGCTGGGCAGCTTCGGGGACCTGCAAACCAACCGAGACCACAGAAGCTCAGCTATTCTCGGCACCGTTCTCTACACTGTGCAGAGGACAGTCGAGGGCGTACGCAAGAGGACACAGGCTCAAGAACCAGTCCTGACCAGGCGGCAGGGTGGAAGCTGTCACTGAGGCCTGGCACACGTGACTTCCATTCCGTAACCTTCCCTCGGGGTGCTGCCTGGCCCCACCCTACACATTTCACTCAGCCTCAGGCTGCCAGGTGCACTGCGTGTGGCCTTCCAGCTTCTCAGGGCCTATCACGGTAGTTTAACTCCAGGCAGTTTCCGCCTATGAGTTCAGAGGCTGTGTGTGAGTTCCCCAACCTTTATATAAACCTCAGAGGTTGTGTATGTCAGTCCCCCACTTATATAAACCTCAAAGGCTGTGTGAGTCCCCCCCTTATATAAACCTCAGAGGCTGTGAGTCCCCCCCACTTATATAAACCTCAGAGGTTGTGTGAGTTCCCCAACCTTTATATAAACCTCAGAGGTTGTGTATGAGTCCCCCACTTATATAAACCTCAGAGGCTGTGTGAGTCCCCCCCCTTATATAAACCTCAGAGGCTGTGTGAGTCCCCTCCTTATATAAACCTCAGAGGTTGTGAGTCCCCCCCCCTTATATAAACCTCAGAGGCTGTGTGTGAGTCCCCCCCTTATATAAACCTCAGAGGCTGTGTGTGAGTCCCCCCCTTATATAAACCTCAGAGGTTGTGTGAGTCCCCCCCTTATATAAACCTCAGAGGCTGTGTGCGCCACGTCCCCCTTCATATAAACCTCAGAGGTTGTGTGTGTGAGTCCCCCCCTTATATAAACCTCAGAGGTTGTGTGTGTGAGTCCCCCCACCTTTATATAAACCTGCTCAAACTCTGCTGGGCACTCATTGAGTGCTGGCACCAGGAGTGTCCTCTCAGCTAAAGAGGGCGTTAATCTTTAAGACTAGCTGAAGTGCAACACAGAACATGGTCGTACTTGAGCTGCTGGAGGCAGCTGTTCAGGTTCTTGAGGGGCTCCTTGCTCACGGCAGGCGGTGGCTTCAGCAGCTCCTCCAGCAGCGAGGCGGGAACCGGGCAGTCGGGGATCTTGATGGGCGTGGCGGGGTTGGAAGAGCTGGCCTCGCCTTTTGGCTCCTTTCTCTGTTTTGAAAAGCACATGATCAGCTTTCCCACCGTCCCCTCCCTCGGGTCAGTCTCACTAGCACAGCATGTGGCAGACGGGCCTCCCCAGCGGGTGACAGGGGGCCTCTGGGAAGGGGACCGTCCTGGCTGCCGTGACAGCACAGCAGTCCCAGAGCTCCAGAATAGCTGGCTGAGGAAACACCTTTATTCCTAAGGCACAAAACCACAGCAAGCCACAGAGACAACCTAAGTCCTGGGTCTGCAGCGGGGCGGGGCCGAGCCACAGACTTACAGCTCTCCCAGAGGCTTTTCCCATCAGAGACTCAAGGCCTTGACGTGGAATTTCCCTAAGAAATTAAGTATGTTTTCCAACTTAGGCTCCCTTTTGGGCACAGCTCCCGGGCCCCAGCCCTTCGCACACAGCAGGGACTGCCAAGTCACAGACCAGCTGCTCATCTGCTTTACAAAGCACATTGTAACAAAGTGGTATTTGTTTTTTTTTTTTTGAGACAGTCTTGCTCTGTTGCCCAGGCTGGAGTGCAGTGGCCAGATCTCAGCTCACTGCAAGCTCCGCCTCCCGGGTTCACGCCATTCTCCTGCCTCAGCCTCCCGAGTAACTGGGACTACAGGCGCCTGCCACCTCGCCCGGCTAGTTTTTTGTATTTTTTTTTCAGTAGAGATGGGGTTTCACCGGGTTAGCCAGGATGGTCTCGATCTCCTGACCTTGTGATCCGCCCGTCTCGGCCTCCCAAAGTGCTGGGATTACAGGCTTGAGCCACCGCACCCGGCCAACAAAGAGGTATTTGAATTCAGAAATGAGGCAAACGCTGCTGGATGAATGAAACCAGAATGAAATGATTTCATCTGTCACCTGAGCAGGACATCTCATTATCACTGACTTTATACAGCCACTGCTCAGCGTGGGCTAAACTACATAAACGGACATCCGTTTATGTCTGAATGACTAACATGCCTGCCAGCCTCCTGTCCAAGAGCATCTACAGCGCAGCCTGGCTACCCCCGGAGGGACGCGGGCCTGAGTACCGTCTTGGCCGCACCGCGGCGCAGGTCCAGCTTGAGCTGCTGGTTCTGCTGGAGCAGGGTCTTCATGTTGTTCTTCAGCTCCGACACTTTTGCCTGGAGCATGAATTTATCCTTCTGGGTCATGGACAGATCTTCCTGGGCCATCTCCAACTCAGACTTGACATTCTGTGGAAAATGAAGTCAGATTTTTTAAGTTAACAGATCTTAAACATCCTGCCAAGATCTGAGTTTGTATTTTCATAGGTTAAGCACATGTGTGTCCTCCTCGGCGCCATCTCGATGGTCCCAGTCCAGGTCCAAAACGCTCAGGACCGGAAGTGTGTCAACTTTTGGAATTTTGAATATTTGCATCACACCTGCCAGCTGAGTATCCGTAATCCAGACATTTGAAATGTTCCAATGAGCATCTCCTTTGTCATGCTGATGCTCGCAAAGTTTCGAATTGTGGGTTTTTGTTTTGTTTTGTGTTTTCGAGACAGAGTCTGTCTCTGACATTCAGGCTGGAGTGCAGCGGCCCAACCACAGCTCACTGCCCAAAGCGCAGGGCCTACGGGCATGAGCCCCTGTGCCTGGCCAGATTTTGGGTTTTTGGCTGATGGATGCTCCTCTGCCTGTATCTATAAATAAATTCTCACTGTGACTCAAGCCCCTCATGTACGAGGGGGACTCGGCAATTATACTCCTTTCCCGAGCAGTCAAGACCGAACCCTGAGCTCTTTGTCGAGAAGTTTATTGCAGATTGGCAAATTTTTCCCATGCACCCTCCGATTTGCTGGACTCCATGAAATCACGTTCTTGGTCCATGTCACACAGCGCGGCCAAGGGATTGGAGCCGGCCCAGGCTTCAGCCCTGCCTCCGTCCTGCCGTGTGACGTGGACCAGGTGACTTTGCGAGCGCCGCACTGGACGAGGGTGCCAGCTCCCCGGGAGCACTGCCTGGCCACAGGCCGCACGGCACGGGAACCAGGGGCCACCCCAGGACGTGCTGCTCCCGCCTGTGCCCAGCGCCTCACACACAGATACCTGCAGCAGCTGCTGTAGCCCTTCCAGCTCCTTTCTGCCCTGCTGCTCCGTCAAGTCCAGCTGCTGCTTCAAGGACTGGATTTCTCTCTCTTTCTGATCCACCTCCCATTTGAGATTTTCCATCTAAAGAGGAGAAAGTCACATGGCCAACAATATTGAAGCGGCTTTACTGCCCAGGAAAACAGCTCTAGCTGTGTGTCCGTTCATTTATTTATTTTTTTTTTTGAGATGAAGTCTCGCCCTGTCGCCCATGGAAAACAGCTCTAGCTGTGTGTCGGTTCATTTGATTTATTTATTATTTTTTTTGAGACAGAGTCTCGCTCTATTGCCCAGGCTGGAGTGCAGTGGCGTGATCTCGGCTCACTGCAACCTCCGCCTCCCGGGTTCACCCCATTCTCCTGCCTTAGCCTCCCGAGTAGCTGGGACTACAGGCGCCCGCCACCATGCCCGGCTAATTTTTTGTGTTTTTAGTAGGGACGGGGGTTTCACTGTGTTAGCCAGGATGGTTTCGATCTCCTGACCTCATGATCCGCCTGCCTCGGCCTCCCAAAGTGCTGGGATTACAGGCATGAGCCACCGCGCCCGGCCTGGTTTATCTTTTAATACCATATTCAGAAAACCATCACTATTCCTCCCCACGTAGGACGGCGTGAAGTCACCCAGGACACCTGTGAGTCCAGCCCCGCAAGTCCAGCCCCTGCGAACCATCACCTCTTGGTTTCCCACAGGCTGTTTGCTGAGCTGCTCGTCCAGCTGCTTCTGCAGGAGCTGGAGCTGCACCCGGGCCTCGGCCAGCTCTGCTTGGAACTGTGCTATCTCCTGGGAATGTTTCCCCTCCCGAATCCTAGCGTAAAAAAACAAGAAAGCAGGGAACTGCCACGCTCCTCCAGCATGCCGTGCCCTCCTGCTGGGAAACGCTGCCTGGGGAAGGCATCCATCCCGGCAGGTGCTGCGAGCTGCAGCCATGCTTGATGCCCCAATGTGCACTCGGGCAGTCCTCACAAAGTGTCTGAGACTCACCCTTCGCCAGCTCCCCTCACGGATCCCAGAGACCACAGCGCCTGGGGCCCACAGAGCCACAGCGTCAGCCCCGCGCCGGGCCGCCCCTTCCCGCCTCGGACCTGAAGCTAAGTACTCGTGCTGGGCGCTCTCTCTCGGGGGAGGACACGGGGCAGTGAGCGAGGCTCAGGCTTCTGGAGACAGACGCTGGGTGCCCCCTACTCCTATGATTCACACTCAAGTACTCGGCAATTTGCAAAATATAGATGACCCTCGCTGTGCTGAAGGTGATGAATTAGACCCCGCCCGTTACCAGGACAGCCGTGTGTGAGGCCGGGCACTCACTGAAGGTCGTCGGCCTCAGCCTGCAGCTTCTGCACCAGGTGTTCCTTGGCCTGCAGCTCCTTCTTTACCTCACTCAGCTCCAAGGAGGCCGCCTTGAAGTGGCGGCGGTTGTGCCCGGCTTCCACCTTGGCAGCAGCCACCTAGGAGGAAGGAAATCACATTGTCCATACCCTGCATGGCACCTGCAGCTTTACGACATGCTGGACGCGGTGGGTGAATCCACTCCCGGCCCCGTGCACGTCTTGGCTGCTGGCGTGTGCTTCTCCACAGGCCTGTCAAGGTCCTTGTAAAGATGAAACCACCTGACCCAGAGCTCGGCACACTCATGTGGCTGCTGCTGTCTGTTCAATGAACACGAACATTCGTTCGAGAACATTCATTCACAAACATTCATTCAAGAGTTTTCGGTCTAAACAGTTTTTATAGTCTTCTTCCAGTTTATTCACAGCCTAGACAACATAGCAAGACCATGTCTCCACAAAATATAAAAAACTCAGCAGGGCATAGTGGTCCCAGGTATTCCGGAGGCTGAGGTGGAAGGATCACTTGAGCTCAGGAGTTCTAGGCTGCAGGGAGCGTGATCGCGCCACTACACTCCAGCCGGGGTGACAGAGTGAGGTCCGGTCTCAAAAATAAATAGGCCGGGCGCGGTGGCTCATGCCTGTAATCCCAGCACTTTGGGAGGCCGAGACGGACAGATCACGAGGTCAGGAGATGGAGACCATCCTGGCTAACACGGTGAAACCCTGTCTCTACTAAAAATACAAAAAATTAGCCGGGCGTGCTGGTGGGTGCCTGTAGTCCCAGCTAGTCGGGAGGCTGAGGCAGGAGAATGGCGTGAACCCGGGAGGTGGAACTTGAGTGAGCTGAGATCGCGCCACTGCACTCCAGCCTGGGCGACAGAGCAAGATTCCGTCTCAAAAAATAAATAAATTTAAAAATAAATAAATAAATTAAAAATAATAAAATAAATAAATACATTTAAAAAAGAAAGAATAAAATTAATTGCAAGGCCAAGGCGGGCAGGTCATGAGGTCAGGAAATCAAGACCATCCTGGCTAACAGGGTGAAACCCCTCTCTACTAAAATACAAAAAATTAGGCGGGCGTGGTGGTGGGCGCCTGTAGTCCCAGCTACGCGGGAGGCTGAGGCAGGAGAATCACTTGAACCCAGGAGGCAGAGGTTGCAGTGAGCCAAGATCACGCCACTGCACTCCAGCCTGGCAACAGATTGAGACCCTGTCTTTAAAAAAAAAAAAAAAAAAAAAAAACACTGAAAAAAATTAAGTGAAACCTAAGCACAGAGTGAAAGCTGGAGAGCTGGGGCACTGTGTGAGCCCAGCCTGAACCACAGCCCAGCAGCAGGCCCCAGGCAAGGGTTAAACGGCTGGGCGGATGAGGCCTGTGAGGCCAAAAGAAAGCTGTTAACTGCTCCTATTAAAATACTCCTGCCACATTTTTTTTTTTTTTTTTTTGAGACAGAGTTTCGCTCTTGTTGCCCAGGCTGGAGTGCAATGGCGTGATCTCGGCTCACTGCAACCTCTGCCTCCTGGGTTCAAGCGATTCTCCTGCCTCAGCCTCCCAAGTAGCTGGGATTACAGGCATGTGCCACCATGCCAGTCTCATTTTGTATTTATAGTAGAGACAGGATTTCTCCATGTTGGTCAGCCTGGTCTCGAACTCCCGACCTCAGGTGATCTGCCCGCCTCAGCCTCCCAGAGTGCTGGGATTACAGGCGTGAGTCACCGTGCCCAGCCACCTGCCACATGTTAAAATTAATTCTATTTATAAGGAAACTTTATTGTTTCACCCCTTTTAAAAAAAAAAATCAAGAAGCTTTTTATTTTTATCTCAATTACATTATCATAGAAAAGTTCTTAAAGGCTGTGGCAAAGCCAGGTCATAGGCATGAAAGAAGCTTTACTGTCAGGCCAAAAAGTTTGAATTGTGAAGCAATTATAACTTGTAATTTTTTACAAGTTCAATTCAAACAGGATTTAAAGGAAAAGTGATGTGTTCTTTCCTGCCTTTCTCTAGAGAAAACCAGTTATTTCTTGTGTTCCTCCTAGAAATTTTCTACATATACATGAACATCGAATGCACACACACACACCACGTCCCAGGCACACACGTGCACGCACACACCCCACGTGCACACACAGGGCAAGCGTGCTGAGTAGCTGCTCTGTGCCAGGCATGGCAGAGGTAGCCAGCAAGCAGCGTTCTAACGGAGGAGCAGGGCCCAGACAGGGCACCTGGGGGTCAGGATGGGCCTCTGCTGGCAACTTGACCAATGTGTCAGTAAACACAGGTGAAGCAGGGCAGGGGCCAGCCATGAAAAGACAGCTCTCTACACAGAGAAGGGTCCACAGAACCACCCCTCGTCTGCCGAACACAAATGGGATCCTATGCTATTCTCAAGTTTGCTTTTTCAATGCAACAAGACACACAGGACACCGTTCCTGGCACAATATAAATACACATGCATGCGGAGCTCATTGGCCCCAGGTCCTCACGGCTGCACCGCCATTTAATCTAACACCACCTTCTAAGGACCAGACCAGGTGCTCTGCAGCCTCCATCACCGACAACTGCAACGCACCTTTGCTCTCTGTAACTGCTGGAAGGAGGCTGGTGTGTGGAGGACTCTGCATAGACTTCTAGGCACTGGAGCGTCCCCTGGAACACCCTGTGAGCCAGAAAGTGGCACGCACCTGCTCCTTAAGGTTGTTCACCTTCTCCTTCTCCTTCTCTAGTGAGGCCTGCAGGGCCTGGACAAGCTGCTTCATCTGGCGATCCTCCTCTTCTTTGCGCTGCAAAACCGCCTGCACCTAGATCAGATTGCAGGACAGATAAGGACGTCAAATGGCAAACACACAAGGCTGCACACGTCACATCACAGGCGGAGGCACATGTCACATCACAGGCGGAGGCACACGTCACATCACAGGCGCAGGCACACGTCACATCACAGGCGCAGGCACACGCAGGGAGGCAGAGGAAACTCCACCTCTGAAGAATCTGTGACAAAAACAGAATCCTAGGTTGCGGGAGCACAACCACAGGGCCGCACTCAAGAACGTGGCACACCTGTGGGCCCCATGGCTCCAGAGGCTGGGGCAGAAGGATTGCTGAAGTCCAGTAGGTCGAGGCTGCAGTGAGCTGTGATGGTGCCACTGCACTCCCCTCCACTCTGGGCAAGAGCCAGACCCTGTCTCAAAAAAAAAAAAAAAAGAATGGGCCGGGCACGGTGGCTCACGCCTGTAATCCCAGCACTTTGGGAGGCTGAGGCAGGTGGATCACCAGGTCAGGAAATCAAGACCATCCTGGCTAACATGGTGAAACCTCGTCTCTACTAAAAATATAAAAAATTAGCTGGGCGTGGTGGCGCGCGCCTGTAGTCCCAGCTATACCAGAGGCTGAGGCAGGGGAATCGCTTCAACTCGGGAGGCGGGAAGCCAAGATCCTGCCACTGCACTCCAGCCTGAGAGACAGAGTGAGCCTCTGTATTACGAACAACAACGAAAAAAAAAAGGAATGTGGTGGCTGGGAACCCAAAAATTACATATAAATCAGGGGTTGCGGCCAGGTACAAACAGAACGGAAGTGGTGGGAACTAGGGCAAAATATGGAACTAAGATGGGAGAGTCAACACCAGCAGCTTGATGTGGCCCCCAGGATTTCCCTGAAATGCCCTGCCTGGTCCTCAATCCAGAGAGGCTGTGGAGCCTGAGCAGCTGAGTGAGACCCAGGTCAGTGTTCGAGTCCCAGTTCTGAACTGCGTGAACCTCTCGTTAAGTGCCCCCTACATACAACGTCACCACCTGGGACTGGAACTCAGCCACACCTGCATGGGAGGTCTGCCCCTCAACTGAGCAGGCCTGCCCGTGAACTAAACAGGCCTGCCCCTCAATTAAACACGTCTGCCCCTCAACTAAACAGGTGAACTGAGCACACACAGGGGCTCCAGCCTCACCTCGGAGAGCCCAGCCCTGCACCAGCAGCCGGGGACCCAGGCCTGTGGGTCACCCAACCCCTGAGCCTGTTCTCTCGGCTGCAGGCCGGGTGGGCTAGGAGTCAGCACAGGTGACTGAATCTGGGTGAGAGTCTCGGAATGCACGCAGCCTCAGCAACTCTCACGCCACTGCTGGCCTGAGTTTGACGAGTTTGAATACCTGAAGGTTCAACTGGACTAGGTCTGCCTCCCTCTTGGCCAAAGCTGTTTCTAGGATGCTGTTGTGTTCCCGCAGAGCTGCGTTGGACTGTCCAAGACCCGTAAGCTTCCCTTTCTCGTGCTCTAATTCGAGAGCCAACTTCTTGTTCGACTCCTCGAGGCGTTTTATCTTCTTCCTGAAGCCTCTGGATTCTTGAAGCTGAAACATACCAATGTCACCGTGAAATTACCCGCACTGGTGAGTGGAGTTCACACACCCCAGAAACAGGTGTTTTCAATAAGAAAAAGCAGACACTTAGGCCAGGCGTGGTGGCTCAGCCTGGAATCCCAGCACTTTGGGAGGCTGAGGTGGGGGGGATCACCTGAGGTGAGGAGTTCGAGACCAGCCTGGCCAACATGGTGAAACCCCGTCTCTACTGAAAATACAAAAACTAGCCACCGTCGTGGTGCACGCCTTTAGTCCCAGCTACTCAGGAGGCTGAGGCAGGAGAATCACTCGAACCCAAGAGAGGAGGTTGCACTGAGCTGAGATCGTGCCACTGCACTCCAGCCTGGGCAACACAGCGAGACTCTTGTCTCAAAAAAAAAAAAGAAAAGAAAAGAAACATCGAAAACTAAAACACAGCAATGGGCCAGGTGTGGTAACTCACACCTGGAATCCCAGCACTTTGGGAGGCTGAGGCGGGTGGATCACGTAAGGTCAAGGGTTTGAGACCAGCCTGGCCAACATGATAAAACCCTATCTCTACCAAAAATACAGAAATTATCCAGGTGTGGTGGCAGGTGCCTGTAGTTCCAGCTGCTCGGGAGAATGAAGCTGGAGAATCACTTGAACCTGGGAAGTGGAGGCTAAGGTGAGCCAAGATCGTGTACTCCAGCCTGGGTGACAGAGCGAGACTGTCTCAAAACAACAAAAACAGCAATGGACACTACAGGACCATGCTTGCTTCATGATATGAAGGCTGTTGTGGTCATGGTCAGTTGCTTCCCCAGGCCCCTCTCCTTCCTCCCCATGGCCAAGAGCCCAGCCTTCTCCTGGGGCCATGGGCTTCTAGAGAAGCCTGTCCAGGCACTGAGCCCTGGCCAGGCCACTCAGCAGGGTGGGCACAAGCAAAACCATTTCAGGACAGGACACAGTGAGTGGAACAGGCAGCCCTAGGGTGACGGAGCTCCACAGAGAGGGGCTGGGGAGGGAGACAGGGGCCGGGAACCAGAGGGGCTGGGGAGGGAGAGGGGGCCGGGAACCAGAGGGGCTGGGGAGGGAGAGGGGGCCGGGACACTGAGCTGCCACCAGCACCGCTGAAGTGAGAACTGTCTCTGAACCTGAGACAGATCTGAGTTCTTTTTTTTTGAAGCGGAGTCTCACTCTGTTGCCCAGCCTGGATTGCAGTGGCACGATCTCGGCTCACTGCAATCTCTGCTCCTGGGTTCAAGCAGTTCATCTGCCTCAGCCTCCTGAGTAGCTGGGACTACAGGCACCCGCCACCACACCCAGCTAATTTTTGTATTTTTAATAGAGACGAGGTTTCACCATGTTGGCCCGGCTGATCTCGAACTCCTAACCTCGTGATCCGCCCACCTCAGCCTCCCAAAGTGCTGGGATTACAGGCATGAGTCACTCGCCCGGCCAAGTTGGGTTTCTTATTTGAAACCAAAGCGTTTGAACTGAGAAGGGCTGCACTGTGAATTCTGTAACCATTCCACCAAAGAGACGGTAACACAGTGATCCTCCCCAGAGGGCTGGAATCAGGGCCTGCCCCACCACAGAGCCAGAGGCTGACGGTCAGAAGGTGGCAACACCAAAAGCAACGCTAGGCGCACGGTGAAGTTTTGTTTTTCGGGCCACACGCGTGGTGGCATGCCCAGGGATCACGTGACCTGCCCCACGCTGCCGCCACAGCAGACAGCCAAGCCTCACCTCGTCCTCCAGCTCCAGCACCTTCTCCCGGGACTCCTCCAGCTCCTGGCTGGTCAGCGCAATGACCTCCTGCAGTTCCTTTTCCAGCAGAGTCTTGCTGTGACTGACAGCCTGCAGCTCCGCCTCCAGGGCCTGGATCCTTTCCTAAGGGCCAAGACAGAACGGGCACTTGGTCATGGGACAGGCCCTGACCCCCCTCACTTCCCGTAGCACCTGCAGGCAGGAGGCTGTGTGGCTGCACACACCAGACACCAGCTGTCTGACACAGTCTCACAACCTTCCTTTATGTTAAAGAAGTTGAATTAACCGACCACAGCATGCACACGATGACACACAGGGACAGCTGGGACAAACGAAATCATCTCTTCAGTTCAATGCTTCAAAAATACAGAAGAAAATCTGACCTGCAGATAATGGCTATAAATCACCACCTGTGGCAAGCAAGCAGCTCCAGGTGTAATCAACACCACATATGTGCTCACGCACCACACATCACATACACACACACGTACCACACGCACACACATGCTCATGTACAATGTGTTCACATCTCACACATGCACATACGTGCTCACCCCACACACATGCATTCACACCCCACACATGTTCGCACCCCACACCACACACACACGTGCTCACACCTCACACATGAATGGACACATGCAGGCACCGGTGTGATCTGCCCACCGCCCACTTGTTGCCTCGATGGTGCCAGGCCCTTGCCAAGCATGTTCCAGTACCACCTAACTTAACCCTCACATGAGGAGGTCCTCATTCACCTCACTTTGACCTCATTTCACTGAGGATCAAAAAGGTGAGAAATTTGCCAAAAGCCACCACTTGCGAGGGGTGAAGCCCGGACGAACACAAGACATTGGCTCGCGGCCGTGCTATTCCTCATCTGCAACGATGCGGCGAGGGGCTGGCTCTGCCCGGCCTTTGCGCCCTCCCCACCCCAGCCCTTAGTGAGCCCAAGGAAAATGGCAACTGAATCAATCTCCCCAACAGTTTACAAAGCAATCAGGTGAGAGAGAGCACTTGATTTATTCATTTAATTTTAGACACAGTCTCTGTCGCCCGGGCTGGAGTGCAGCAGCAGAATCACGGCTCACTGCAGTTTCAGCCTCCCCTCCTGGGCTGAGGTGATCCTCCCACCTCAACGTCTCAAGCATCTGGGACCACAGGCACGTGCCACCATGCCCGGGTAATATTTTTGTATTATTTGTAGACATAGGGTCTCATTATGTTGCCCAGGCTGGTCTCAAACTCCTGAGCTCAAGCGATCCTCCCGCCTCGGGCTCCCAAAGCGCTGGGATTACAGGTGAGAGCCACCGTGCCTGGCTGAGTTTATTTAATTGCTGGGCTTACAGGTGTGAGCCACCATGCCTGGCCGAGTTTATTTAATTTGACAAGAAAACCCCATGTTATGATACAGTCTCTTCTTACCCCTAAATTCTTAGGTGGACGGGAAATAGAAACAAATCACATTTAAGAAGAAATACTAAGTTGTCAGTGCAAGGACACGAACTGGAGAATAATAAATACAATGCAGATGAACTTACTCAGGTGGAATGGTATGCCTACCACGTAAGGTAAGAGAGCACAGAGGGCCGTGGCCTCCACAGAGGGCCCTGCTCAGAGCCCTCCAGCAAGGGCACCGGCTTGTTCTGGGCCACCACAGCGTGGCTACCTCTAAACGCTCCCCGAACCCTGCCAAACGCTGACCCCACACCCTTACTCCTGCTTCTCAGCGAGTGCGGAGGCTGCTGGAACACGAGCGGACCAGGGCAGGCCCTCCCTCTGCCCCAAGGGAGCAGCTGAACTTCTCTGAGCCAAGGAGATTTCTTGAGGAAAATCAGGTGAAGGCCGCAGACCACAGACCGCAGACCGCAGACCGCAGACCGCAGGCCGCAGGCCGCAGACCGCAGACCGCGCAGGGTTCATGAGGGTCGCGGGGCGATGCTCCGTCACTGCGGGCTCCCGGCAACCTCGACGCTGAGCGGAGTTTAGAGAGCTGCCACCTCCCACATGAGCTCGGCCCCGCGAGGCTTTAGGGGACAACTGCTGATGGAAAGCCCTTCCCTGCACTGAGGGGCTGGCAACCCTGGCCGGGGATGGCACGGCGTTACCTACATGTAGAGCCAAGCTGCTGTCACCACTGCCACCCTGGGCTCGGAGTTGGCCCAGCTCCGCGTCCGCAGCCTCCTTGGCCGCAAGGGCCTCCTGCAGGCGGCGGCTGAGGATGCCCACGGCATTCTCATAGGCCTTGTGTTTGGTCTTCATCTCCTTCTGGGCGCTGGTCAAGTCTGAGCCCAGCCGCCTCATCTTCTGCTTCTGTTCCGTGATGGCCCTGGGGTGTCACGAGGGAGACACAAGAGGAAGCTGAATTATCCTCTGACGCGACCGTCTGGCATTCTGGTTCGCAACAGCAGGCAACAGGCAGTGCGTCTCAGAAGCCCCTCCTGAAGGACGGGCTCGGTGGCCGAGACCCTGGGCCACGGGGAGGCTGCCTCTGCTCACGCCCCACCCTCGCTCTCCCCAGAACCCAGCTGCCCTAGGAAAGCCCGGTGAGTGTGTGTCTGTCCTGTGCGGGCTGCACACAGCGAAGGATCAGTCCGTATTGGGTGTTCCTGCAGGGCCAGGCCAGCGGAAGCACTCAGTGAATTTTCACCATTTCCACCACCAGCATCAGACCTGCCCTCCTCTTGGGGCAGCTTATGAACGACCCTGTGAATGCAGAGAAAGAGTCTAAACTGCTCCTACCAAACAGAAACGTTCTTGAATATCGGTAAAAATTTCAACCATCAGGTTCATGAGCAAATCACCAGCTGATTAAAGCAAAGCAGCACAGATGCCCACGCCTGGAATCCTGGGGGGCCGAGGCGGGAGCATCGCCTGAGTCCAGGAGCTTGAGACCAGCCTGGGCAACATACTGAGACTCCATCTCTACAAAAAAATTTAAAAATTAGCCAGGCGTGGTGGTGCACACCTGGGGTCCCAGTTACTCCAGGGGCTGAGCTGGGAGGATCACTTGAGCCCAGGAGGTTGGGGCTGCAGTGAGCTAGGATGGCACCACGGCACTCCAGTCTGGGCGACAGAAATAGACCATTTCGAAAACAAACAAAATACCTCAAAACTATGCATTTAGCTGGGCATGGTAGCTCACGTCTGTCATCTCAGCACTTTGGGAGGCTGAGACAGGAGGACTGCTTGGCCCTGGGGTTCGAGACCAGCCTGGGTAACATGGTGAGACCCCATCTCTACAGAAATGAAGCAAAGCAGCACAGGGCACAACGCCAGAGGAAGAAGGCCCGACGGCATCTGCGTGTGCACGCACATATTGATGGGCATGTGCCCTCGAGGTCTGTGCACCACTGGGTAAGACAGCCCCGACGGCATCTGTGTGTGCAAACGTGTGCCAGCGAGGTCTGTGCACCACTGGGGTAAGGCAGCCCCTAACAGCATCTGATTGTGCGCACACGTATGCACGGGCGTGTGCCGGCGAGGTCAGTGTGTTCATGTTTATGTGAGTGTAAGGTGTGAGGATGAACACTGAAGCGTCTCCCAGAGTAGGAGCTGGGAGAGGGGATGCTGCTGCACAAAAAGTCAAACATAAAAACACCTGGGGAGCTTCTGTTACAGGAGCTTCAGCAAGTCCACAATCAACTCGGATCATTTCGCAGATGAGCAGCCACCAAACCACACGGACTCCAAACCTGGACCTTAACGTTCCAGGCCACCAGCACCTCCCAGGGAGGGTGTCCCCGCACAACAGCAGCAGCCCACGGGGCTCTCCTGCCTCCCCCGGGCACACGCAGACTTACTTCCGGGCTTCTTGCTGCAACTCTTCAATTTGTTTCTTCAGCACCTCGTTGGCCTCTGTGACCGCGACCATCTGCTCCTTATCGAACTGCAACGACTTCGGAAGGGAAGGAGGGCGTGAGGAGCGGCACTGAAACCCCAGCCTGTCTCCCCTCCCGGGCTCCAGCCCATCGCCCCTGCCGATGGCACTGCACAGGCTCGCCCTGGAGGACTTGCGCCTTGAGAAAAATCCTGGGAGAGACATCTACCTTCTTACAAACCACTCTTTTTTTTTCTTGAGATGGAGTCCCATTCTGTCGCCTAGGTTGGCGTGTAGGGGCGTGATCTCAGCTCAATGCAACCTCTCCGCCTCCCAGGTTCAAGTGATTCTCCTGCCTCAGCCTCCCGAGTGGCTGGGACTACAGATGCCCGCCACCACACCCGGCTAGTTTTTTTATTTTTAGTAGAGACGGGGTTTCACCACATTGGCCAGGCTAGTCTTGAACTCCTGACCTTGTGATCCACCCACCTCGGCCTCCCAAAGTGCTGGGATTACAGGGGTGAGCCACTGCGCTCGGCCACAAACCACTCATTATTGAGACCAACAACCGTTTCCAAACACTGTGTCCAGAGCATCAGAGGCACAACAGGACATGACTAGTTCATAGGAAAGCCTGTGGACCCAGGACCTCTCCTCCTAACCCCTAGGACCCAGGACCCCTCCTCAAGGATCCAGACCCCTCCTCAGAAACCCCAGGACCCCTCCCTGGAGACCCCTGGACCCATCCCCAAAGTCCCCGGGAACCCTCCCCTCAAGCCCCTGGGTTCCCTCCCCACAGCCCCTGGACCCCTCCCTGAGCCCCCGGAACCCCTCCCCAGAGGCCCCTGGGACTCATCCCTGGAGACTCCAGGACCCTTCCCTGGAGCCCCCTGGATGCCCTCCTCAGCCTCCACTGTGAACACTGACGGCTGCGTCCCCCACCTGCTCCTGCCCTCCCAGCCTTTCCCCAGCTTCTGCGTGCTAGGCGAGTCCCCACAACCAGCCCAGACCTGCAGCTGTGGGGTCTGAACGTGCTCTGGCCCCACTGCTGTGTCCTCCAAGCCTCCTGCAACCCAAGTAGCCGGCGCTGCCCTCGGCCCACCTCCCCACCCCGGCAGCAGCGTTAATCCATCAGCCCCCATTTTCTGACACCAACCAGCGCTCCTCCATCAGCTCCTACTTTCCGACACTGACCGGCCACACCGCCTACTCCCGGCCTCAGCCTGGCTCCTGATGAGCCAGACACGCTAACCAGTCCGCCTAATGGGACCTTGGCTCGGTCCTCTCTGGCAACTTCAGAAACATCATAAGCAAAACGACCCTCCCCAAATTTACTGTTGCTCTCCCGATTTCCCATCTCGCCTCCCGGTTCCTCAGCCTGGATGTCTGGACAGGATCCTGGACTGTGGCCTCCATCCCGCACCCCTCACCCCTCACCTCCGGCTCACCTGCTCTGCCACCTGCAGCCGAGAAACTGTCACCAGCATCCCGGACACCCACTGTGTGCAGAAGCCAGCCCAGGCTCAGCTTCCACAGGAGTGTGACTGTCTCTGGCCGGTCCCAGCTCCGCACCCAGCCACAAGGGACTCCCAGGGTCCCCGGGCCCCGGTGCCCTGCCCCGACGTGGGGTCTCCACAAAACACTCACCCTTGCTTTACGCATGACAGCCGCCGTCCTCACACACTGGATCCCGGGAGCCCATGGCAATGGGAAGAAGCTGGGTGCCTCACGGGGCCTTCTCACTCCCTCCCTTCATGCAACATCGTCACCTGGACTTACCAGGCCTCACCTGACCGCCCCTCTGGGACCTATGCTCCAAGTGGGCCATACTCCCAGCTGTTCTTGCAAAAGCCTCTCCCGCCTTGCCACCGCCCCGCCCCACACCCGGCCCCGCCCCACACTCGGCCCCGCCCCAGACACACGCGCCCTAAGCACTTTGGCCGAATCCTCCCCATCAAGTGAGTCAGTCCCACACGGACGGACCTGCAAGTGTGTTTCCATCTCGTCTCGCTCCTTCTGTGCCGACTGGAGATGCCCTTCAAGGTCGGCCATCTGCTGACGGACCTGGGCCGCCTCTCGGTGCAGGCGCGAGAGCTCCGCCTCCGCGGCCCGCTTCTCCCCGTGCACTTGCATCAGCTCCTGCCGCAGCTCCTTCAGCTCCGAGTCCAGCCTTTTCCTGGTGGCTTTCAGCTCACTGATGAGCTGGTCTTTGGAGGTGGCGTCGCGCCGGTAGGCCTCCACCATCACCTGCCGAGACAGAAGCTGTGAGCCGACGCTGGGCGGTGGGCGCGGGGGACTTCTGGGGGTCACGCTGGCTTCAACAAAAATGTTTACCACTTACCAGGGACATAACTTTTTTGAGGTAAAGATACATTTCATCAAATCTAAGCCTTCATCGACTGAGACACACCATTATTTACCCACAGGTGACATCACGGCCTGTTTAAACAAGAGTCTGTGTGTGGTGCACGAGGCAGTCACACCAGCCTCCTAGACGTCTCTTCAATTCCAAGGAGTCTGGCTCTCTCCAGCCTTCAACTGTACTGCTTTGCTTCCAACAGGTACTCCCCTTGCTTGTGGCTCAGTAATAAAAGAAAGCAGGACTCAGGACACTGCTCCAGGGGCCGCCCTTGCTCAGAAATAAAATACAGCAGGCCGGGCGTGGTGGCTCACGCCTGTAATCCCAGCACTCTGGGAGCCCGAGCTGGCTGATCGCCTGAGGTCAGGAGTTCAAAACCAGCCTGGCCAACAAGGCGAAACCCCTATCTCTACTAAAAATACAAAAAACCAGCCAGGTGTGGTGGCACATGCTTGTAGTCCCAGCTACTCAGGAAGCTGAGGCATGAGAATCACTTGAACCTGGCAGTCAGAGGCTGCAGTGAGCTGAGATAGCACTACTACACTCCAGGCTGGGCGACAGAGCCAGACTCCGTCTCAAAAAAAATAAAACACGGCACTCACAACGCTGCTTCAGGGGTTGTCCTCGCTCAGAAATAAAACACAGCACCACGAACAATACAGCTTCGGGGGTCACCCTTGCTCAGATCCCATAAAATCCAACAGGAGGTACTGGCTTCACTGACACAAAATTTATATTCCATGTCTTTTTGGGTAATCATAATTTGTTTCAATGCTGGAACTCCATGTGCATTTTTCAGACATTTTAAATGGCAAACCCAACCTGTGTGAACAACACTGCACAACACACAGCTCCCCAGAGTGAGCACAACAGGGTTGTGCTCCAGTGACAGGCGCTCCAGTGACAGCCGCCCCTGGAGATCTGAGGGGCCAAGACCCCCACCCCGCTGTGGAAGTGCATCTTGACTTTGCAGATTAAGTACCTTTAAAAAAAGTTAAAGAGAGCCGGGCGCGGTGGCTCATGCCTGTAATCCCAGCACTTTGGGAGGCTGAGATGGGTGGATCACAAGGCCAGAAGATCGAAACCATCCTGGCCAACACAGTGAAACCCCGTGTCTACTAAAAATACAAAAAATTAGCCAGACGTGGTGGCCAGTGCCTGTAGTCCCAGCTGCTCGGGAGGCTGAGGCAGGAGAATGGCTTGAACGCGGGAGGCGGAGCTTGCAGTGAGCCGAGATTGTGCCACTGCACTCCAGTCTGGGCGACAGAGTGAGCGACTGTCTCAAAAACAAACAAAAAAAAAGAGTTAAAGAGAACTCAAGATGTTACCTGTTATCTTCTTCTCAACTCCAATGACACTGGAATTGCTAAGCAATTAAACCACACAAAACTCTGTTCATACACTTGTTTCAAGCGAAGAAATCAACAACACATTTTTACCTTTTGTTGAAGAAACTGTTCCTTTATTTTTTGCGTTTGCTTTTTCAGAGTGGCAGTCTCCTGCTGCAGGTGTTCCACCTGTGGGGAACATGTGCACAGACATTACACTGTGGGCTCCAGGAGGGGAATGTGTCTGCACAGATGTTACACTGAAGGCTCCAGGAGGGGAACACATCTGCACAAATGTTACAGCGAGCTCCAGGAGAGGACACATCCTCACAGATACTACACTGAAGCCTCCAGGAGAGGACACATCCTCACAGATACTACACTGAGGGCTCCAGGAGAGGACACATCCTCACAGATACTACACTGAGGGCTCCAGGAAAGGACACATCTGCAGAGATGTTACACTGAGGGCTCCAGGAAAGGACACATCTGCAGAGTTGTTACACTGAAGGCTATAGGAGGTGAATGTGTCTGCATAGATGTTACACTGAGGGCTCCAGGAGGGGGATGCATCTACATAGACAGTACACTGATGGCTCCAGGAGGGCACACATCTGCACAGATGTTATAGGAAGAAGCATTTGTGTCCTGACGGGAACTGGTGGTTCCTAAGGCCTGGGCTCTCTCTCCTCACCACTGAGAGCATGAAGGCACAGTGAGGGGCAGGGAGGTGGGAGAGGGGATGAGGCCAGGGCGCACTCCAGCCCAGGATTTGGCAAGCCTTTCTTGGAGATGCCTGATAGGAAATGACTGCAGCTCACAGGCTGCATGTCAGTCACAGCTGCTCAGCAAAGCTCCTGCAGCACAGACACAGCTCCAGTCTCTGCACAGGCGGGCAAGCAGGGCTGTTCCAGTGACAGTTTACAGAACCCGGTGCTGGGCTGCGCCCACAGGCTGAGGGTGCCGACCCCAGGCTTTGGTCCTTGTCCTGCAAAGTCTGTTGGAGCCCAGTCCATTCAGCCCAGGAGCTTTTGAGAAATGCAGAGCCTCGGGCCCCACGCAGACCCACCCCATAGGACTGCACTAGGAGGGCCCCACGCAGACCCACCCCACAGGATCTGCACTCGGAGGGCCCTGGAGGACTCAGGAACACGTGTGTTTGTGGAGACACTTCTCTACCTCAGCAAACAGCTCTCAGCACACACACATGGGGCAGTCGACTCCAGAAATAGGGAAAAGCTTGTTGAGGGCCTAGGTTTGCTGTCTGAATATAGAATACGCTGCACGCAAATCCTAGCTATCACTAGAGCACGACTGGAGAATGAGCCTTTTTCGCTACAACATGGAGGGCGGTCCCTCAGGAGCCCCCCTGCAAAGGATCAAAGTGCCCGGCCAAAACTGGTTTTAAATAACATTCTCTTCTCGATGAACTCTGAAAACATCATGCTAAGTGAAAGAGCCAGTCACGGCCGGGCGCGGTGGCTCACGCCTGTAATCCCAGCACTTTGGGAGGCCGAGGTGGGTGGATCACGAGGTCAGGAGATCGAGACCATCCTGGCTAACACAGTGAAACCCCGTCTCTACTAAAAAAAAAAAAAAATTAGCCAGGCGTGGTGGTGGGCGCCTATAGTCCCAGCTACTCGGGAGGCTGAGGCAGGAGAATGGCGTGAACCCAGGAGGCAGAGCTTGCAGTGAGCCGAGATCGTGCCACTGCACTCCAGCCTGGGCGACCCAGCAGGAAAGAAAAAGAAAAGAGAGAGAAAGAGAGAAAGGGAGGGAGGGAGGGAGGGAAGGAGGGAAGGAGGGAGGGAGGGAAGGAGGGAGGGAAGGAAGGAAGGAAAAAGAAAAGACAGACAAGAACGAAGGACCAAATAAGCAGCATCACTCCTGCATGGAGGGTTCTGATTCAAAACAAAACACAGCAGAATGCATTACCTGGCCAGACTTGATGGCCAATTCTTCTCTTAACTTCTCTAAAGTTTCCGACGTTTCCTCGGTACCTTCTTCCAAGCGTCTTGCTCCTCTGTCAAACTCCTCCTTGCCACTCTTGGCCGCCTGCAGAGCCGCCTCCAAGATGATCTTCTCATTCTGCAGGAGGCAGATCGTGTCCTCCCTGGAGGCAGCCTCGCCCTGCAGCTCCCCTAGCCTGGCCTGCAGCTCATCGTAGTGTGTCTGCAGGGCATCGAGAGACTGCTCCCTGCTCTGCAGAGCCTCCTGAGTCAAGGTGAGCTGTTTCATCAGGTCCAGGTGCTCCTGCTGCAAAGCCTCAAGCTGCTGGTCTCGCTGGAGCAAAGTCAACTTCACCTGGAGAAGGAATGAAGCCCACATGGCTGCGCAGGCCCCACTCCGAGAACGTTGGCTGTGCCAACCCTACTTTGAGCCCTTTTCCTGTTCGGGTTTCAAGTAATTTTGATGGACACCATGGAAGGTCTTTTTTTCACACACAATCCTGGTGCAGAAGAACCAGCAGGGCAAACACAGAGTCAGGTCTGCAGCAGCAGCAGCATCTGACCAACAGCCCACCTCTCACCTGAGCAGACACGGCCCCACAGCAGAGGACCCCCCAGGTTCCTTGTGTGCAGTCCTGGCTGCTCGGGATCACCTGGGGCCTGGGTCCAGCCTGAAGGGCTGCAGGGACTTACCTGCTCCAGCTGCTGCTCCAGGGATGCCGCCGAGTCTGCCATCCTCTGCAGCCGCTCCCTCTCGCCTTCAAACTCTTCCAGCCTCCTCTGGAGGTCCTCCTCCACCATCGTCTTTGCCTCCTGAATCTGCAGGAAGGCTGCTTCCTGATCCAACATGTCAGCCTGGGCCCAGCAAACAACGCGTTTTTAAAAAGGCAGGAAACCGTAATAGTGAACAGCAGCCAGCAAGTCCCGTGCTCTGCGGAGAAACTTACCACCCTGGCATGGGCCCCATCCACGTCCCCATCCTGTCTACCAACTGCAGACTGAGGGCCCCGGGTGAGCAGCTGGGCCACCCACCAACCAGGAGACCGAGGCCAGGTCCAGCCCAGGCCAACAACCCCGTGTGAAGGACTCGGATCCACTGGTGAGCAGAACCTCCCCGGCTTTTCTCGTGTGGCAACAGGTGGGCGACAGGTGCCTGCTTTCGGGAGTGAGACCCAGACATGCTCTCACAAGAGCAGTGCTTGGTACCACCAGGTAAGAGAGCAGAGGCCCCTGCAGTGAACACAGCCTGCGTCCTGGCTGTGGATGAGCCCTCACATCGGGGTACACCTCTTAGGAAAACACAAATTCCTAACTTGAAATTCTTTTCAGTTCTTCTCTACTAAGCCCTTGAAGAACTATGGCTGACGCAACACGATTCTTTTTTTTTTTTTTTTTTTTTGAGACGGAGTCTTGCTCTGTTGCCCAGGCTGGAGTGCAGTGGCCGGATCTCAGCTCACTGCAAGCTCCGCCTCCCGGGTCTATGCCATTCTCCTGCCTCAGCCTCCCGAGTAGCTGGGACTACAGGCACCCGCCACCTCGCCCAGCTAGTTTTTTGTATTTTTTTGGTAGAGACGGGGTTTCACCGTGTTAGCCAGGCTGGTCTCGATCTCCTGACCTTGTGATCCGCCCATCTCGGCCTCCCAAAGTGCTGGGATTACAGGCTTGAGCCACCGCGCCTGGCCCGCAACACGATTCTTATCCGTCATCCCAGCCGGGTGGCCCAGCTGATGCCACAGAGAGGTGGGAGCAGTCACAGAAGACGAGAAACCACGTGAGGCTGCAGAGAGCTCCCTGCACAATGGGAAAGGTCGGCAACGAGAGCGGCCCAGCATCATCCAGCACAGAACCTCCCTCCATACACTGCCTTGGGGTTTTACACTGTTCCTTCTTCTTTAATTTTTCCACAAGGCTATCGAGTAGGTGACACTATCCCCATTTTATAAAGATGAGGCTCAAGCCTGTAATCCCAGCACTTTGGGAGGCCAAGGCGGGCGGATCACCTGAAGTCGGGAGTTTGAGACCAGCCTGGCCAACACGGCAAGACCCCGTCTCTACTAACAATACAAAAAATTAGCAGGGTGTGGTGGCGGGTGCCTATAATAGCAGCTACTTGGGAGGCTGAGGCAGGAGAATCGCTTGAACTTGGGAGGCGGAGGTTGCAATGAGCTGAGATCCCACCACTGCACTCCAGCTGGGTGACAAGAGCGAAATTCCACCTCAAAAAAAAAAAGACGAGGCTCAGAGAGCTAAGAAATTGTCCAGGGTCCCACAGCTAAAGAACAGCTATCAAGGCTGCTGCATTTCTGTCCTCTGGAGATGGCTGGGCAGGCAGCAGCCATGACCTCAACAGCGTGTGGTTGCTGGAGGGTCAAATGGCAATGCAGGTTGAGTGCTTAGAAAGCAAAGAAAATCCTCTCATCACTAGGCTTCGACAGGCTGTCAGGCACAAACTCACCGGACACTTCCTCCTTACCTACTCTGTACCCACCGCCATCCCTGACTGGCAATGACCAACGGCCAGGGCCCAGGCCGAGGCGGGGCTGGCAGGGAAAGAGCCACACTGCACTAAGCCCCACAGGTGAGGGATGAGGAGCGGGGGTCCCAAAGCCTTAATGAGCGGTCACTGCAGGCCATCCATGAGAATATTTAAGAGATACACACAGAGAGATAGAACATGTAAGAAAAAACACACCGTATCTATGTCTGTGTATGTGTATGTTCTCCCAACCTTACACGGCCCTGGCTGCAGCCTCACCTCAATACCCTGCAGCTGTGCCGCGATCCGTCCTTTCTCCTTCATGGACCTGTGCTGAGTTTCCGTCAGCTGCTGGGACAGCGACACATTCTCGAGTTTCAGGTGCTCCAGGAGACCTGCCTGGGTCATCTGTCCAACCTTCAAAAAAAAAACCCCACAAAGTAAAAAGTTGCTCAATTTCAAGCAAGAAATGCAGACCAGCCTGTCCCTGGAGGCCCCAGGGTGAGGGTCACGGGCTGCCCCTCAATGTCTCCCACATAAGCCCCACCACCCACCACACATCTTCCCACGTCAAAATATGCGCTGTCTGGGCTCTGTGTGCCTGAGTGGGAGGGCGGGCAGGCCATCCGTAAGCGCTCATCATGCTGTTTGTAGCTCATCAGACTGCGGTTTGTAGCAGGACCTACCCAAAAGTCCCCACTGACGAGGCATCTCTGAGCCCCTGTGGGTGAGGAGCCTTATCTTAACTGACCAAATCCAGCCAGACACACACCAGGGCCTGCCTGACAGGTGCCATTCCCGGGACGCAGCCTTTACAGCCCAGCTAGGGCCCGGCCCAGACCCCCAGGTGCTCAGGCCCACCCTGGCCAAGCATCTCGTGAAAAAGCCCAGTCCCACGGCTCTGAGGAGGACGGCGTCAGCCAAGGGAAGTAGCACTGAAAGGAGATGTGAGGACAGCCTGGGGCCTGCAGCTGGACCTGCCCGCGTCGCCTGTTCCATGCTACCTCCTGGAGTACGAAGTGCGAGACGTGACAGAAGCCACAGGCCCCAGGAGCTCAGGAGAAGATACACAGAGCCAGGGAAGACAGCCTTTGCTGGGACTGTGTTTTGAGACCATGAAAGCAGAGTGCCTGCCTGGAATTCTCCTCCCTTCTGAATGTTACCGGGAATGAAGGGATACATTTGGGTACCAAAAAAATGTATTAAAAACTCTGATTAAGGAATGCTGAACCTGGATTCCAAAGGTATTTGGAAAAAGCAGTGAGGGCCCAGCATTGGCTCATCCTGTAATCCCAGCACACTGGGAGGCTGAGGCAGGAGGATCGCTTCAGCCTAGGAGCTCAAAACCTGCTTAGGCAACGTAGCAAGACCCTGTCCTTACAGAAAATGTTTAAACAATTAGCCAGGTGTGATGGTGTTCAACTATGTCCCAGCTACTTGGGGGGCTGAGGCAGGCGGACTGTGTGAGCCCAAGAGGTCAAGTCTACAGGGAGCTATGATCGTGACACTGAATTCCAGCAGCCTGGGTGACAGGGCAAGACCCTGTCTCCGGAAAAAAAGCAGATAGGGCTCTAGAGCCACCATCGCTTTGAAGCTTCCTCTTTTTGTTGTCCAGGCTACACCACCACACTTCCTTGTTGTTGGTTTTTTATTTGAGACAAAGTGTGGCTCTGTTGCCCAGGCTGGAGTGTGGAATGCAGTGGCTCGATCTCGGCTCACTACAACCTCTGCCTCCTTGATTCAAGCACGTCTCATGCCTCAGCCTCCCAAGCAGCTGGGACTACAGGCACCCGCCACCACACCTGGCTAACTTGTGCGTTTTTAGTAGAGATGGGGTTTTGCCATGTTAGCCAGGCTAGTCTTGAACTCCTGGCCTCAAGTGACTGGCCCGCCTCGGCCTCCCAAAGTGCTGGGATTATAGGCATGAGCTACTGCACCTGGTCCAAACTATACTTCTAAAATACACCTGGCATGGCTTACTTCTTTAAATACTACCTCATATAAATATAAATGCACCGCAGTTTTTTTTTTTTTTTTTTTTTTTTTGAGACGGAGTCTCACTGTGCTCCCAGGCTGGAGTGCAGTGGCGTGATCTCGGCTCACTGCAAGCTCCGCCTCCCGGGTTCACGCCATTCTCCCGCCTCAGCCTCCCAAGTAGCTGAGACTACAGGCGCCCTCCACCACGCCCGGCTAGTTTTTTGTATTTTTAGTAGAGACGGGGTTTCACCATGTTAGCCAGGACAGTCTCGATCTCCTGACCTCGTGATCCACCCGCCTCGGCCTCCCAAAGTGCTGGGATTACAGGCTTGAGCCACCGCGCCCGGCCGCACCGCAGTTTTAAAAAACTGTATTAATCTGTGTACTGACTTGTTTCCAAGTTATGTTGTACGTAGAACAAATGCTTTCCATATGGTTCTCTGGCTTAGAAAGCACGTAATAGGTTGAGCGCGGCGGCTCACGCCTGTAATCCCAGCGCTTTGGGAGGCTGAGGCGGGCGGATCACAAGGTCAGGAGTTCGAGACCAGCTTGGCCAATAGGGTGAAACTCCGTCTCTACTAAAAATACAAAAATTAGCTGGGCGTGGTGGCGGGCACCTGTAATCCCAGCTACTCAGGAGGCTAAGGCAGGAGAATCACTTGAACCCAGGAGACAGAGGTTGCAGTGAGCTGAGATCATACCACTGCACTCCAACCTGGGAGACAGAGCAAGACTCCATCTCAGAAGAAAAAAAAAAGTAACAAAAATTGAAGAAAACTTCTATTGTATATATTCGTAAATCTAGATAAAAAAGGAACATTTGGTGGAATTAGTATTTCACATTCCCCTCTTGAGAAATAAAGTTTTAATAAATATATAATATTTTACCTGGAAAAAAAAATTCCACAGCTAATTAAAAAATAACAGGCCAGGTGCGGTGGCTCGCACCTGTAATCCCAGCACTTTGGGAGGCTGAGGCGGGCATCACTTGAGCCCGGGAGTTCGAGGCCAGCCTGGGCAACATGGCAAAACCGTGTCTCTACAAAAAATACAAAACTTAGCTGGGCATGGTGGCGCATGCCTGTGATCCCAGCTAGTTAGGAGACTGAGGTAGGAGGACCGCTTGAGTCTGAGAGGTTGAGGCTGCAGTGAGCCAAGATCACACCACTGCTCCAGCCTGGGTGACGGAGTGAGACAGTCTCAAAAAAAAACAAAAACAAAAAGACTAAGGCTGACCAAAGGCGCTCTTCAGCATCTCTGACATCATCCTGATTGGGCTAGGTGCTGAGACCCGGATCGAGGTGCACGTGAACCATTCGCCTGTCGGTCTGGGTGTCTCCAGCGTGTGGGCCAAGGGGCAGGCCTGGACAGACACACGCTCCCACATATGCGGGACCAAGCTGGACATGGGCTGTGCCCACTAACGAGTGGATGGGAGAGGAAAGTGTTTCCGACGGTATGTAGGAAATGCGAGGCACGCTGGAAAGATGTGGTCCCTGTGTGTCACTGAGGGCTCACACAGCAGAGAAAGGAAAAGCTCCAACCAGGATGAGAACCCCACTGGCACCACACACCTGTGAGACATCGCAGCAGAGTGGGGAGGCCGGGGTGGGAGGGTCCTGAGACCCAGGCAGATGAGAATTTACAGGCATGCACCACCGTGCCCAGCAAGACAGGCTTTGGAATTGAAAATGCTGGCAGAGGCTGCTGTGGGTCTCCCATGTCAGAAGGTTGTGGGGGGGCCCACGGGACACATCCTACATGGGACACAGGGTGTGCTAGACAGATTAAAAACAAAAACATGTCTGTGAACTCTAAAAACAGAAAAATCTTTGGAAAAAGCACCGTTCTACGCGAAGACAAGAAGCGTGACCTGCCCTGGAAGGTAGACGGGGGCCGTACCTGGATGTGAGCCATCTCACCCTGCAGCCTGACGCGGGCCTCCTGGGCCAGGGCGAGCTGCTGCTGGTACCACTGCCGGACACTCTGCAGGGACGAGATCTCTGCCTGTGACGCCTTCAGCTTGCTGGTCAGCGTCGCCCGCTCCAGCTGCACCTGCTGAAGCTGGCTCTGCAAAGCTGTCATCTGCTGCCGCAGGTCATGCACTGAAATGGGGCAAGCACAGCAGCTCAGGCCAGTGACAGTCAAAGGGGGAGTCCGCAGCTCTGCGCGTGCGGGACACAAGGCGGGACTCTCAGCAGAGACCAAATAAGATCAGTTCCGGTTATTCCCCGTAGCTGACTCCATGAAGTCGCCGTGAACACGGCACTAGTGGACGCTGACAGATGCTGCTCCTGGGAGAAATGCAGGGTGAGGTTCCTGCAGGCCTCTGCTCAAGCATCTTCACCAGTTCATCGATACATAACCTCTGTTCTGTGTCTCTATTTAAGACACCTATTCAATACATAGCGTCGACTCATTCACACTGAGCTCACAGCCAACAGCAACTTGGCCAACAAGCCTGAGCAGAGCTTCTCTAGGAAATAATGATGGCCGGGCACGGCGGATCAGGGGACATGGGGGTGCAGGGGGCATGGGGGTGCATGCCCAGGAGATCCAGACCAGCCTGGGCAACACAGCAAGATCCTCCGCTCAAAACAAAATTAGCCAGGCGGGGCGACATGCACCTGTGGTCCCAGCTACTTGGGAGGCTGAGGCGGGCAGATCCTATGAGCCCAGGAGTTCGAGGCTGCAGTGAGCCACAACTGCCCCACTGCACTCCAGCCTGGGCAACGGAGCAACCCATCTCAAAGACAAATGAATTTTTAAAAACAAAAATAAAATTTAAAAAAACAGAAACAGGATAAATTTTAAAAAAATAAATCAAAAGAAAAAAATGAAGTACATCTCCACAGAACACCTCACATCCTCTCTGCGTTTAAAAACACTAGACAGTGTTGGCCGGGCACGGTGGCTCACGCCTTTAATCCCAGCACTTTGGGAGGCCGAGGCAAGTGGATCACCTGAAGTTGGGAGTTTGAGACCAGCCTGGCCAACATGGAGAAACCCTGTCTCTACTAAAAATACAAAATTAGCTGGGCGTGGTGGCACGTGCCTGTAATACCAGCTACTAGGGAGGCTAAGGCAGGAGAATCGCTTAAACCTGGGAAGTGGAGGTTGCGGTGAGCCAAGATCACACCACTGCACTCCAGCCTGGGCAACAAGAGTGAAACTCTGTCTCAAAAGCAAAACAAAACAACAACAATAACAACCAAAAAAAACATTAGACAGTGTTTGGGGCCATCTTAAACTGCAAAATTATCCCCAAAAGAAATAAAACATGGCCCTGGAAAGAACTCCTCCGGCCTGGGCTGAGCACGAAGGCAGGCAGAGCATCCTCTCCTCAGCGGGCGCCTAGGATGACTCACATACTCTGCTGCTCCACACGTGTCCATGAATACTGAGCTTGGGGTTCAAACAAATTTAATCAAGTCGGCAAATTCACACTTATGAAATCTGTGAAAATTGTTGTGGACGCTGAGGCTCTCGTGTTCGACCCAACGATGTCTACCAGCCATCAACAAACAGCAAGGGTATCTGTCGCCCCCCGGTCAGGACTGGGCAGCCTCACCACAGTTAGGCTGGTTTTGCCGCCCCCCGATTACTGGTCAAGTAAAGCGTGGCAACCCACAGGGCCCCAAACTACTTTAGTGTTGAGAACTTTTTGGGTTTCATAGTTTTTCTGAAGGGATTGGGTATCACGAAATGCTCGACTAAAATATTAAAGCAGTTACAGGAGTACTACTGCCTCTCGGCTGGCTTTCTCTTTCTTGTATTGGAACGCAGCCTCTGTGACGCCAGCTTGTCACCCTCCTCTGTGTCATCAGATCCAAGACCCAGTCTCACAGCCTCATGGGCGAACTGGCTGACGTGGAGTCAGCCCTCCCGGTGGCTGCACCAGCGCCCCCTCGCTCAGGCGATCCCAAGTCCTGAGAGATGAGGCCACCGAGCAGTCTCCCTGGGAGGACTCTGGACCCAGGTCACTCCACAGTCCCCCAGGCTTTGGTCTTCAACCTTCTGACCCTGCTTCGCCCTCTCCTTCTCGCTCCTGTCCACGCCTGCTCTGAGCAGGTCAACCAGAGTCTTCTCCGTGCCTGCTGGGCACTGGAGTGTGGGCTCTGGGACTGGCCTAGACGGGGACTGAAGGGGCAGAAGGCGTGCTGCCAAGCCACAGGGAAGCCCGCCGCGGTTCTCGTGGTCCACCGTCCTACTTGTACTCGCTGGGCGAGCCCTACAGGGAGGCAGCTGGACCGACACGCTGCATCCAGGGAGAAAAGGTTGCCAGACGGACAGTCAAGGAGCTGTTCTTGAATATCTTTTTTTTTTTTTTTTTTTGAGACAGTGTCTGGCTCTGTCGCCCAGGCTGGAGTGCAATGGTCCGATCTTGGCTCACTGCAAGCTCTGCCTCCCGGGTTCACGCCATTCTCCTGCCTCAGCCTCCTGAGTAGCTGGGACTACAGGCGCCCGCCACAGCGCTCGGCTAATTTTTTGTATTTTTAGTAGAGACGGGGTTTCACGATGGTCTCGATCTCCTGACCTTGTGATCCGCCCGCCTCGGCCTCCCAAAGTGCTGGGATCACAGGCGTGAGCCACCGCGCCCGGACTGTTCTTGAATATTTTAAATGGAAGCTGCAATTCTGTGGAATAAGTGGGCAGCTCTACACCCCCGAAATACCACTGGACTTTTGAGGCAGGATGCGTGTAAATGATCACCGCAGACAGTCCAGGGTACGAGGTCGATCTCCAAGACCTAATTCATTCCCCTGGATGTGCACGCAAAAATGTACACAATTCCACAAGTTCAACTAAAAATTGTATTTCCTTTAGAAAAGTGGCCTCCTTATGTGTAAATTATAAACCAATGCAACCCCCACAGGCATAGTCACAAGCCAACAGAGCTGTCAGCACCAGCCCCAGCTCGCTGGGCGCCTGCCTGGATCGGGGGCTGGGGCAGGAGGAGGACGTGGCAGCGTGGCAGGGACCAGTCAGGGGAGGAGGAGGGCGCGGCCAGGAGGAGGAGGTGTGCCGGGGACCAGTTGAGGAAGGAGGAGGGCGGTGGCGGGGAAGGAGAAGGACATGGCCAGGGACCAGTAGAGGAAGGAGGAGGGCGCAGCAGGGACCAGTCAGGGAAGGAAGCGGCCACAGTAGGAACCAGTCAGTCAAGGAAGACTGCACGGCCAGAGAAGGAGGGCGTGGCCAAGGAGGGCGTGGCTAGGGAAGGAGGAGGGCGTGGCAGCGTGGCAGGGACCAGTCAGGGGAGGAGGAGGGCGCGGCCAGGAGGAGGAGGTGTGCCGGCGACCAGCTGAGGAAGGAGGGCGTGGCCAGGGAAGGAGGAGGGTGTAGTGGGGACAGTCGAGGAAGGAGGAGGGCGCGGCAGGGACCAGTCGGGGAAGGAGGCGGCCACAGTAGGAACCAGTCAGTCAAGGAAGACGGCATGGCCAGAGAAGGAGGGCGTGGCCAAGGAGGGCGTGGCTAGGGAAGGAGGAGGGTGTGGCGGGGACCAGTAGAGGAGGAGGAGGGTGTGGTCGAGGAAGGAGGCCGCAGCAGGGACCAGTCAGGGAAGGAGGAGGCCGCAGCAAGGACCAGTCAGAAAGGAGGAGGGCGTGGCCAGGGCCTGGCCTCACCTGTGTTGTCCTTGCTGAGCATGCTCTTCTGCATGTCCTCCACTTTGGCCACGAGCCTCTGGTACTGCTCCTCGGCCACCTGCAAGTCGTTGTTGGACGATGCCAGGCTGGCGTTTTTTGCCTCCAGCATGTTCTGCAGGTCGGTCATGGCTCGCTCCAGGTCCCAGCACGACTGCTTCAAAGTGTCCACCTCCGAGCTGAGCGAATCCTGCCGCTGCTGGCTGCTGTGGCTGCACTCCACCTGCGCCTGCAGCTTCGTGCTGAGGGCGGCCAGCTGGGCCTGTAGCTCAGCCTTCTCTTTAAGTGCCTGAAAAGATCCCAACAACCACAATGACTTTCAGAAAACGAGTCACTTCCGTCCAGTGTATTAGCAGGAACACAACTGGCGAGTCAGTCAGGGCCTGACGGGGGACCCTGAGACCCCCAGGCGCTCTCCCAGGGCCTGACAGGGGACCCTGCCCCGAGACCCCCAGGCACTCTCCCAGCACAGCCGTCCCAGAAGAAGGCGACTTTCCAAACAGGCCCAGGACGCACACGGAGCTGCACTAGTTTTGGGCCCAACTGCACCTGCACAGGGCAGCACTCGGGCAGGGCTGGGGAAGCACCCTTCTCCTGTGAGGACACGGGAAATGTGTTCAAAACACCAAACGTGCACATGGGCATGCCAGATATGGCATGGATATTGCACGCACACACAGAATGCCAGACGTGTAGAGGGACCCCTGAGAGATTAACAGTGGATTCGGATCTGGGGGGAAATGGGCAAAAAACACAGGCATGGAAAGGTGGCTGCTTCCTAAGTGCGGCTCTAGGGGCTCCAGCCAGGGCCACGGGACACAGCACAGTCCTGAGTGACCACGGCAATGCTGTGTGGCCCCATGAGCAGCAGAGAATCGCCAGCGAAAATCACCCCACCACCGACCCCAACCGGCCCCCACCGGCCCCCACACTAAGGCCTACGGGGAGGGATCCAGTTCACACATCACCAAGACAACAAACACCCAAAGCAATTGAGGAAACACAAACTCAAGGATACCCTAGAGCAAGGGGCCAGCAACCACCACACCTGAAACAACCCTCACGATCGTGGTGTGGATGCAACCGAAGCACCGATCAGTGACCCCAGGAGGGTAAGAGGACAAAGTGCAGTGAGAGCAAGCCACCGTTCGAAAGAGTGGCTACACAGAGGAAGGGAAACGCGTCCCGCGACGGGAGGCTCACGCTGTAACGCCGGAGAAGTGACGACTGTACAACCAGAATTAGCCTCAAAACAGCCGAAATCACCTTTTCCGTAGACACAGCTTTAGGTGGTTTGTGTCCAAGGACCATGTTGTACAAGAACACCATCTTCAGCATGAGATGTGCATTTAGCAAGGCAAGCTCCCGGCGCAGTGAGCAGCTACGGCCCTGCTCTGTGGCCCCGTTCGCTGCAGGAGGCCCCCTCAGCCCCGTCACCTCAGGGCCTGGGTGCAATCTCACGCTTCCACGACAGAAACAGACAGCTGACCCCCACTGAACAGATTTACTCAACTGTCGACAGACGGTAAATACCTAGCTCTTTGGGTAAAGTGCATACAACAAAATGACAAAGGAGAGCTGAAAAAGGGATGGAAAATGATGTTTCTGGCACATGCTAACCAAAGCCAGCGTGTGTGGCTTTTTCTGCTATAGCAAAACTAGTATCAGAAAAAGCAGAAAGCACTGCAAAGAAAAAAGGTTCACCGTGCCAGAAAAAGGTGCAACCCACCAAGAGAATTTAACTCTTAAGGCCTGTGAGACACCTAACATCTAGGAAATACTCTGGTGAGATGCAGGGAGAAACGGACCCACACCTGATGAGGCAGAAAACTAACACCTCTTTCTAAGGCTGACAATAGACAAAAAACGTAAAGATGCAGAACGCTCGGCTGCCACACACGCTGCGGCGGCTGATTCCCAACCACATCGTGAAACCTCGTACCCAGCAGAGGAGCCACACGTGCTTTCCGACTTCGCCGCACGCCAAGACGTCAAGAGCGTACGTTACCTGACTCGCCTCCAGTGACAAGGCTTCCAGCTGTCCTTCGAGTCGCATTTTCTCTTTGAGCACCTGCAGCATCTCCTCCTGGGTTTCTGCTGCAGAGCTCTCCAAGGACACGCTGGGGACAAAAGCACGGGTCAGGCCTGTGCGAGCCAGAGCCATCCTGATTTTCCTTCATATTCCTCCATGTTCTCCAAATTCCACGCACCCCTGCTGCTCTCTCCCAATCTTTTTAAATTAAGTAGAGGGCTAAGGCTTGCATGAATGCACGGATGAACATTCCTGCCAACAGTCGGCACCTCACAAAGCAGGAACTGTTAGGAAACGTGAGACGGGCATCGTGCAGCTTAGTGACAAGTCTATGCAAACAGGAGAGTGGATATTTTAATAACACAGACGACTGCTGATTAGATCCAACTCTACTGCTTAAAAAGCAGCAGACTTGGTATGAATGAAATGTTCATGTCAAGACTAAGGACAGAATCAGGAAGAAAAGCTGTGTATCCCCTGTTCCAGTGTGGAGAGTCTTGGGCTGGGGAAGCAACATCTAAGGTCAGGCCCTCTGCCTGCCCCGCCCACCTCTGCTATGGCCCCACGACCCCTGCCCGCCCCGCCCCCTCTGTGAGCCCCTCCCACCTCTGCTATCGCCCCACCCACCTCCACCCACCCCGCCCACCTCTGCTGTCCCCCCACCTGCTGCAGATGCTGTCTCTCCGACTCCGCACCTCCCCGTTGACCTCCTGCCCCTGGTCTTGGTGCTCAGCGGCTGCAGCCTGGAGGACGTCCTTAATCGAGGGGAACTGGCCCAGCGTATCCGCAGGAATCTCCTGGCCGTTGACCATATAGGGGGTGTCCTGTGTGCCCAACGTCTTCGACAGAACGCCATAGGTCCCTCGGGTGGAGGCGCTGCTGTACGATGAGCTGTCACTGTCATTTCCATCCACCTCAGACACGCTGTCTCCAGCCAGGGAGGCGTTCTCCAGACGGTCGTCAGTGTCGGGGGACAGGCTGATCTCAGACACAATGGACGCTGCGCTGCTTCTGTTCTGCTTCAGGGAACCCTTGGTAGAATCGGGAACCGGAACATTTCCCCCGGAATTCCCAGCATTTGAATCTTCAGTTCTGTAATCGGCCAGAGACCGGATTTTGCTTGATTTGGAACTTTTTTTCTCCTTAGGGTGTGCCGGAAGCCCCAGGCTGCCCACCTTAGGCCCACGAGGGACACTGGTGCGCAGGAAGGAATATTCTTTTGTCATAGCCACGGTGCTGGCCCTTGGCAAGTTTTCTGGGTTTAACATGAGCTCAGGATCAAGCGTGCTAGAAAGTCTCGTTTTGGTTGCAGGTTGACTGGACTGAGAAGAAAACAAAAGTACAAAAATTACATTTAAAATCCACAAGCAGCATTCTTAAAATTGCCATTCAGAACGGTGGCACCGATTACACCCCCTCCACTGACAATCAGAGAGCACCACCTCCCCAGGCCCTCACCACACAGGGTGCGGCCAGGCCTCCAATCCTCGGTGGTCTCACTGCTGCAAGGCCCCACCCGAGTGACCAGCATGACCACCCCTGGTCTGAAGCACACTCTTCAGTGAATGACTTCAACACGTTTAAAACAAAACAGCAAGAACCTCCTCATCAGACTCCTCAACAAAACTTTCTCGGCTACTCTCCAGTTTTTTTTTTTTTGAATAAACATAGAAACTTTCTTCAAGGCTGGGCGTGGTGGCTTACACCTGTAATCCCAACACTCTGGGAGGCTGAGGCGGGCAAATAATTTGAGGTCAGAAGTTCAAGACTAGGCTGGCCAACATGGTGAAACCCCCGTCTCTACTAAAAATACAAAAACATGAGTCAGGCATGGTGCTGGGCACCTGTAATCTTGGCTACTCAGGAGGCTGAGACATGAGAATCACTGGAACCCAGGAGGTGGAGGTTGCAGCGAACCAAGATCGCTCCAGCCTGGGCAACAGAGTGAGACTCCGTCTCTCAAAAAAAAAAAAAAAAAAATTAGCTGGGTAGGGTGGCACATGCTTTTAATCCCAGCTACTCAGGAGGCTGAGGCAGGCGAATCGCTTGAACCCGGGAGGCAGAGGTTGCAATGGGCCAAGGTCACACCAGTACACTCCTGCTTGGGTGACAAAGCGAGATTCTGTCTCAAAATACACATATATATATTTTTCTTTTTTTCTTTTAACTGCTCATTGACAATGCACCTGGTCACCTAAACTCTGATGGGAGATGTACAAGGAGGTGAATGTTGCTTTCATGCCTGCGAACTCAACATCCATTGTGCAGCCCAAGGATCAAGGACTAGTTTTGATTTTCAAGTCTTATTACTTAAGAAATACCTTTGTAAGGGTACAACTGCCATAGTCATAGTGATTCCTCTCACGGATCTGGGCAAAGTAAACTGAAAACCTTCTGGGGCCGGGCGCGGTGGCTCAAACCTGTAATCCCAGCACTTTGGGAGGCCGAGATGGGCGGATCACGAGGTCAGGAGATCGAGACCATCCTGGCTAACAAAGTGAAACCCCGTCTCTATTAAGAAATACAAAAAACTAGCCGGGCGAGGTGGCGGGCACCTGTAGTCCCAGCTACTCGGGAGGCTGAGGCAGGAGAATTGCGTGAACCCGGGAGGCGGAGCTTGCAGTGAGCCAAGACGGCGCCACTGCCTGGGCGACAGAGCAAGACTCCATCTCAAAAAAAAAAAAAAAAACTTGAATGGGTAAAATCCTATCAAACAGCACTGCATGTTACCGAGACATCTTTTGTAAGAGAGTGAATCACAAAGGCAAACTTTACTGCGGTTTGAAGAAATTCCTACAGCCCAATCTTCAGCAACCACCACCCTGATCAGTCAGGAGCCATCAAACTTGATGCAAGATCCTCCAACAGCACAGAGATTACACTTGCTGAAGGCTCAGATGATCGTTAGCATTTTTTAGTAATAAAACATTTTCAAATTAATGTGGGTACATCCGTTTTATTTAGACACAGTGCTACTGCACACTTAGTAAACTACAGAAGCGTATACACATAACTTCTTTATGCTCTAGGAAACCAAAACCATGTAGGACTTGCTCTATTGCAATGTTTACATTTTTGTGGTGGTCCGGAACTGAACCCACGGTGTCTCTGAGGTCACCTGTGTTTGCTTTCTTTGCTTTTCAATTGGCAGACTTTGAAATAAAATGTGCTTGTTGCAAAAGAAGCAGGACCAGGCAGGGGGCACAAGCCAGGCTCCTGTGGAGTCCCCCAGAGGTGGGACCCACATGACAGGAGCAGAGTCAACCGCTGCAGAGGCCCCTGAGCCCATGGCAGCTCAGAGAAGCCAATGGCAGGTCCCAGGGTTATGTGGGACCAACAGCTGTCTCTAGGGCAGGAAGCTTTCCATGAGCTTGTTCGGGAGAGGGGACTCACCCTCTCCTGCTGGCGCTTCACCCTGTACTGTTTGAGCTGCTCTTCCAGCCACTTCCGAGCCTGAAGTCGGACCTGCTCCTCCTTCTCCAGTGGCAGGGAAGAATCTGTAGAGCCTGCAGTGGGAAAATGGCCATTTGGAAACTCATCAAATACCAGGATGCAGAATAATCAGGCACAAGAACTTGGTTGTTTTGTACTTAATTACCCATATATTTTACACCTAAACAATGCAGAGCCATCTTGTTTGGAAGGACAATTTCTAGATCAAGAGAGAACTGTGAGCCCCTGACACTGACCACAGGCGGGAACCACCTCACAGGAGACACACTGGCCAGGCACTGGGTCTGTGATCTCATGACGAGTACACCCCGCCTGGGGGCATCCCCTGGTAAAACAGGAAACCACGGCAAGTGACTTTTTTTTTTTTCTGAGACAGAGTCTTGCTCTGTCTCCCAGGCTGGAGTGCAGTGGTGCGATCTCGGCTCACTGCAAGCTCCACCTCCCGGGTTCAAGCAATTCGCCTGCCTCAGCCTCCCGAGTAGCTGGGATTACAGGCACCCACCACCACGCCCAGCTAATTTTTTGTATTTTTAGTAGAGACGGGGTTTCACTGTGTTAGCCAGGATGGTCTCGGTCTCCTGACCTCATGATCCACCCACCTCGGCTTCCCAGAGTGCCGGGATTACAGGCGTGAGCCACTGCACCCGGCCTTTTTTTTTTTTTTTTTTTTTTTTTGAGACGGAGTTTCGCTCTTGTTGCCCAGGCTGGAGTGCAGTGGTGTGATCTTGGTTTACTGCAACCTCTGCCTCCTGGGTTCAAACGATTCTCCTGCCTTAGCCTCCTGAGTAGATGGGATTACAGGCATGCAACACCACACCTGACTAATTTTGTATTTTAGTAGAGATGGGGGTTTCTCCATGTTGGCCAGGCTGGTCTCGAACTCCTGACCTCAGGTGATCCGCCCGCCTCAGCCTCTCAAAGTGCTGGGATTACAGGCGTGAGCTGCCGCGCCTGGCAGCAAGTGCCTTTTAACAACAGAAAGAACTGGGTTCAAAGCTGGAGCTGTGCCGAGCACTCTGAGGCAGACTCAGCTCTCACCACGCTGCAACTTCTCCTGGCTTCACAGCAGGTTCTCCTGACCTCGCTGGGAGGAGCACGTGAAAAGCCGGCACTGTGGAGTTACAGGCGGTACCCAGCCACAGGAGCTCAGCCGCCACTGGGTCATGAGACCCCGCGTGCATTTCCTTGCGCAGTTACATTTGGGGTCCGCTTTGACGCACAGCTCATCTCAGCTCCTACAGTCACAAGCCACGTTACGAAAAGGCTCTGGCGGTACTCAAACGGCTGAAGCCTGGCGCCAGGCCTCACTGCAGAGTAAATGCTGCACAGGCTCCACCCTCCAGGGCTGGAAGCAGGTTACCTCAGTCTCCAGACAGACGAGACTCCAATCCGAGGTCATGCTCCGGGACAGGAGGGGAAAATTATAACGTGTTAGCCAAAACCAGAATTTAAAATGTCTAAAACCCAGACCGTTCATTTTGGGTGATGAAAGGGGTGCATGGTGCGTGCCAACGTGTTAGAGTTACAAACCCAGGGCTCCACTTCCCAGGGCTGAGTGTGTGGCCCTTGTCCTTCCTAAGCTAACAGCAGACACGGCCCGATGGCCTGGGTGCCGACCAGAGAAGGGAAGTATAATCACGCAGCAACACTTTACACACGGCACCCTCCTTACATGTGGATGCTGAGGAGATGAGCAGCTACTGTCCTAAATAATCCCTAAAATCTGAGTAGTCACCAAGAATTTCACTGTAAATGTACCATTATTAGTTCATACATTTTATCACTGAAAAGATCTCTAGTCCTTTTCACGAGGCAAAGTGGTCCAGATGGCTAGACCGTAAGTGGCAAACGCAGGTCTACGGCCATCAGACAGATATTTACACAAGTCGGTAAAATGAGCAGGGTTTCAACCAAACACTGATGCAGGAGACAGGCTCAGAGCCAGGCGCCAGCATGAACAGGTGACCGGGGCATCCCACAAAGGCGTGCACGCAGACCCAGCACTGCTGTCACACGGGCACCTGGGCCAGAGCTCACACATCTGTAACTTTAGGACCCCAAAAGTAAATAAACTAAGTTGAAAAAAATCAGGAATCTAGACTTTTTTACATGCTACTTCCCAACTTAAACACTGGCAATGAGTTTTCAGAATTGTTTCAAATAAACACATGTGAAATGCAGTTTGATTTCAGTAATTTGGGGGGTTTTGTTGTTTTTATTTAAAGAAATTTTTAAAAATATACTGCAGGCCAGGCACAGTGGCTCACGCCTATAATCCCAGCATTTTGGGAGGCCAAGGTATGACGATCACTTGAGCCCAGGAGTTCAAGACCAGCCTGGGCAACATGGTGAGACCCTGTTTCTATAAAAAAAAAAATTAACATTACCCGGGTGTGGTGGCGTGCACCTGTTGTCCCAGCTACTTGACGACAGAGGCAGGAAGATACCTTGAGCCTGGGAGGCAGAGGCTGCAGTGAGCTCTGACTGTGCCACTGGACTCCAGCCTGGGCAACAGAGCAAGATCCTGACTCTAATTAAAAGAACAAAACAGGCTGGATGCCCACGGTCTGCTTACCAAGCACCTGGGTGACACAGGACATGCAGGCCGGCCTTTAACGCAAGAGCGTCAGCACCGCTGCCAGTCAGACCGTAGCAGTGCCTGGACTCCAACTGCATCTTCACTCTCTAATGTGAAGCTCTCTTTGCTAAACGCACAGCCCTGCATGGGACTTGGATGGCACACGGCAGGCACAGGCACACAACAGCTCAGACAGCAAGTGCGCAGGGCACCTGCTCCCAAGGGGCTGAGCGACACGAACATGGAGGGTGGGAAAAGCGGCGGGAACGGATGCTTACACAGTTGCGTTTCTTGCATAGGAAGACTGAGTCTGAGAGACTGCAAAGCTTCTTTTCTAACACTGCCCTCAGCACTAGTTCCCTGAGCCTTCCTTAGGTTGTCATGGAAACCAGCCACACCTGGAGAGGCATCAGGGCCCACTGGGCTTGTGGTGGGGTCGAGAGATGACGGAGGGTCTGGCGAGGGTGGCATTGGCCCGTTCTGACAGAGGCCTCCCTGGCCAGGTCCATCCGGGCTTTCTCCTTCCGTGGAAGCTCTGTTTACCTCAGCACCTGGAAAGACAGAGTACGCTGGACCACCGTGGATTTAACAACAAGTGATGTCGCTTTTCAGACACGCAGCTGGAGTAGGAGAGAAGAGGATCCAGACTCATGAGCACAGCACCTTCTCACCCCACAAAGGCGTTTACTCTGAGAAGAGCAGCCCATGGGCCCCGTCCCACAGGCGGGGTGGCCAGGATAAGGCCCACAGCCCCGCTGGTGTCATGTCCTCCCTGTAAGGTAAACTCGCCCTCCACGCCTCCACTCTGGCTGTAGAATTTATGTAGTAACGACAGTAACATTTCCTCTTTTTATTTTTATTTTTTGAGATGGAGTCTCGCTCTAGTGCCCAGGCTGGAGTGCAGTGGCACAATCTCAGCTCACTGCAAGCTCCACCCACCGGATTCAAGCGATTCTCCTGCCTCAGCCTCCCGAGGAGCTGGGATTACAGGCACCCACTACCACATCCGGCTAATTTTTGGTCTTTTTAGTAGAGACGGGGTTTCACCATGTTGGCCAGGCTGGTCTCAAACTCCTGACCTCAAGTGACCCGCTCACCCGCCTCGGCCTCCTGGAATGCTGGGATTACAGGCGTGAGCCACTGCACCTAGCCAATGTTTCCTTTCCATTTAAGTAAAACCAATAAGAAATCTTATGAAAGTCGACTGTTTAAAACAAGCAAAAACCACAAACGCTTAAAACACAGCTGACGATCTTTCTAGCAGGCACTGGGAACAGCAGTGATAATCAGAATCACACAGCCTCACATTTACAAAGGCTGATTCTGGAGTCATTTCAAAGCCTAAGCCTATCCTCCAAGGCGAGGACCCTACGGCAAAGAGGTGGATTACGTCATCAGAACACCACCCGCGAAGCAGAGACAAGCCAGAACTGCGCTTCTGCTCGAACACGCCTGCTGGGTAAAGGCCTGGGTTGAACCAGTGACAATTCTATACCCACGTGTTACCTCAGTTCACCCACTAACATGATTATATATAAATTACCCACAACACAAACTAAAACATATTTCCTCATCACACGGAAGAAAAACTTCTTTCAATGAAGTGATTTTCAGTCTTTTCCCTGCCCCCAACTGCTGACTGGCGGGTGGGTCAGTTCAAAGAACCAAGACATGTGAGGGGGAAGGGAGGGTCCTCAGGGGGTTCTGGCCCTGGTTCCAGTGGCTCTCGAGGCCTGGCAACACCCCTGCCTCTCACAGCGGTGGGCATTCCTCGGATCCCATGTGCATGCAGTAGAGTAAATTCGCTTTTTGCTCAGGCAAATTAAAAATGGGTTTCTTTCACTTGCAAATGTGAGTCCAAACGCAGCTACTTACTGTCATGCCTCCTGAAAGAAAAACCAGAGTAAAAGCAGGGGTGCCACAGACAGGAAGCCAGAGCAAGGGGACCCCGCCAACGCACTGAGACGCCTTCCATGCAAACGACCCGGGAGCTCCACTGCTGGGAGAGGGGGAACCTTGCATTTCAGATAAAAGTTAATGGGTTAGGCCAGGCGTGGTGGCTCACGCCTGTAATCCCAACACTTTGGAGGCCGATGCAGGTGGATCACTTGAGGTCAGGAGTTCAAGACCAGCCTGGCCAACATGGTGAAACCCTCATCTCGACTAAAAAGACAAAAATTAGCCACGCACGGTGGCACGCATCTGTAATCCCAGCTACTTGGGAGGCTAAAGCAGGAGAATCACTTGAACTCGGGAGGTGGAGGTTGCAGTGAGCCAAGATCGCGACACTGCACTCCAGCCTTGGCGACAGAGCAAGACTGTGTCTCAAAAAAACAAAAAACAACAAAAAAAGAGGTTGGCCACATGCAGTGGCTCTCGCCTATAATCCCAGCACTTTGGGAGGTGAAGGTGGGAGGATAACTTGAGGCCAGGAATTCAAGACCAGCCTGGGCAACGGCAAGACTGTCTCTATAAAAAGTTTTTAAAATGAGCCAGGCAACTGGGCACAGGGGCTCACACCTGCAATCCCAGCACTTTGGGAGGCCGAAGCGAATGGATCACCAGAGATCGGGAGTTCGAGACCAGCCTGATCAACATGGAAACTCCATCTCTACAAAAAATACAAAATTAGCTGGGCATGGTGGCACATGCCTGTAATCCCAGCTACTCGGGAGGCTGAGGCAGAAGAATCGCTTGAATCTGGGAGGCAGAGGTTGCGACGAGCTGAGATCGCACCACCGCACTAAGCCTGGGAGACAAGAGCAAAACTCTGTCTCAAAAAAAAGAAAAATCAGCCAGGCGTGCTGACACGCATCTGTAGTCACAGCTACCCCAGAGACCAAGGCAGGAGGATCGCTTACACCCAGGAGCCCAAGGCAGGAGGACTGCTCACGCCCAGGGGCTCATGGCTGCAGTGAGCTATGATTACACCACTGCACTTCAGCCTGCTCAATGGAGCAACACCCTGACTCTAAAAACAGTAATAAAATTTTTGAAACAGAAAAATGAAGAGGTAGAGGCTGCAATTAATCAAGCATCTTGCTCAAGGGCACAATGCTCCTGAGTGGCAGATCTAACAGCAGGTTCCATGGCTGTGGGTCTCAGAACCCCTGACCTTGGGCCTTCAAGCTGTTATCTGCCTCACCTGATGTTTTCGTAGCAAGGACCAGCGAAGCCATCCTAAGGGCCTGAGTATCATTTTACAGGAATTAGACTGTGATTTCTGATAGTAAATTAGCACATCTACAGTCTACCGTTTTAAAGCACTGAACCTCCTGGCCAGAAAGAGGCAGGAGAACTGAGTGAATAACTAACTCACCCTTTCCCTCTGACACGTGCATAGCACCGGGGGACTAACATAAAATTGTGCTCAGTAATCCTTAGATCTCTATTGAAATAGTTCTGAATTCTAGCTATTAAAAATTTGGCCACTGACCAATCAAAAAGGCAGAATTTGGCCAGGCACAGTGGCTCACTCCTGTAATCTCAGCACTTTGGGAGGCTCAAGTGGGTGGATCACTTAAGATCAGGAGTTCGAGACCAGCCTGACCAACGTGGTGAAACCCCATCTCTACTAAAAATACAAAAAACAGCTGGGCGTGGTGGTGGGCGCCTATAGTCCCAGCTACTTCAGGAGGCTGAAGCAGGAGAATCGCTTGAACCCGGGAGGTGGAGGTTGCAGTGAGCTGAGATTGTGCCACTGCACTCCAGCCTTGGCAATAGGACACTGTGTCACACACACACAAAAAAGGGGCTGGGGGCGGTGGCTCACGCCTGTAATCCCAGCACTCTGGGAGGCTGAGGTGGGCAGATCACCTGAGGTCGAGAGTTCGCGACCAGCCTGACCAACATGGAAAAACCCTAATAAAAATACAAAAACCAGCCGGGGGTGGTGGCGGCGCCTGTAATCCCAGCTACTTGGGAGGCTGAGGCAGAAGAATCGCTTGAACCCAGGAGGTGGAGGTTGCTGTGAGCCGAGATCTCGCCACTGCACTCTAGCCTGGGCAACAAGAGTGAAACTCCATCTCAAAAACAAAAAAAAAAAAGGTAGAATCTGGGCAGGGAACACGACAAAGACCCATAGATCCCTTCAGGGAAACACTGTTGCTGCCCCACAGGTGTCAAATGGCGTTCTGTTTAGCACGAATGTGCCTGATCTAAAGGTGGCATCATTCAGTTACTAAAACATACTCTGAATGAAGTGAAAAGCTCACAGTGGTCTCAACACCACGTCCTCCCTCAACACCACGTCCTCCCTCAACACCACGTCCTCCTGTGACCAGCACACAGAGGAACCTGACGACTTACGCTGGGCTTTGTCCTGCTGGTCAGGTGGCACCAGTGGGTCCTGGTCAGGTGGCACCACTGGGCCCGGGGGCTTCAGGGGGCCCTCGGGGAGAGCCAAGGGGCCACCGTGGGATCTGTCCTCCTGGAGGCCATCCTGCTCGGCCGACGCACCGTCCATGGTCAGGACGACACCAGCTGCACTGACGCCGTGGAGCTACAAGTGAACCTTGGTCAAGCGTGGTTTCTGCCATCAGCAACAGCCAAGAGCCCCTGGGAGGGGCCCCACTGTGTCTCCCATTTTCAGGAGATTGAATGACTCAAATGGCCTGAGGTTAAACCAGATAATATCATGATACCTGACAGGAGAAAAAGAGAAAAAATGTATTATGAAACTTTTACTCGTCAGATTTCAAGTATCGATTACAAAATTAACATTTGGTTCCCAATTTGCATACGTACAAGAAACAAATACAGACTTTTTCATTCAGCAAATAATCCTGGAGCACCTACAATGTCCTAGGTTTTGTGGCTAAAATGCCGACCCAGCCACACTGGGCCCTTTCCTGAAGGTGCCAACTAAAGAACATTCTACTGGGACAGTGCGGCTTTCTGTCCCGGAGTAGCTGAATTGTGGAGTAGCTGTCACACAGGGCAACTGAGGAACTGAGTTTTAAATTTAAAATTAATTAATTTGGGCCAGGTGTGGTGGCTCACCCATGTAATCCCAGCAATTTGGGAGGCCGAGGCAGGCAGATCACATGAGATCAGGAGTTCAAGACCAGACTGGCCAACATGGTGAAACCCCATCTCTACTAAAAATACAAAAACTAGCTGGGCGTGGTGGTGCACACCTGTAATCCCAGCTACTCGGGAGGCTGAGGCAGGAAAGTCGCTTGAAACCTGGGAGCGGGAGTTGCAGTGAGCCAGATCATAGCCACTGGCAATCCAGCCTTGGGCAACAGATGAGCTTCTCTCGCACAAAAAAAAAAACTAATAGCCAGATGCAGGTGCTCACACCTACTATCCCAGCACTTTGGGAAGCCGAAGTGAGGTGATCACCGAGGTCAGGGAGTGCAACAGTCGCGCCAACACCAGTGAAGCCCTGTCCTCTGCTAAAAAATGCAAAAAAGTGCTGGGTGTGGTGCGGGCACCTGTAATCCCAGGCATTGGGACGTCGAGAAGGAGGGCACTTGACCACTGGAGCGCAGGGTTGCATGAGCCGGATCGCACCACTGCACTCCAGCCTGAGGTGGACAGAGGGGAGACCCATTCTCAAAAAAATTTAAAAAAATATCATATCCAGGACCGCAGGCCTAGGTGTGCTAGGCCACGCCTCCCCTTCTTCAGCCAAATGGCAGTGACTGTCCAGGCCAACGCTCCCTTCCTGGCAGCTCCACCCCTTCAGGTTGGACCAGCTCAGATCTGGAGAAAACAAAACTTTAAAAACGCAAGGGGCCATGGATGTGGTAACTGTATACAGGGGTACATTAGACACCAGAAAGGTAGTGCCTTGGAGTCTGGGCACGAGAGGGCATTCTCACAGCAGGCCCGTTCCCGTTCTTACCTGTTAGGCTGGGTTAGCGAGGCGCTTTCTCTCCTCAGCCCTCGCTGGCTACTTATCAGTCAGCACAAAACTTTGCCCAACATTTGCAAGTCGCATTACCACCTTGAAATGTTGCTCGGTGATACTATTAACTCGTTTCCTTATCACAGGTAAGATCTGAGCCCGACGCTCATTCATCCTCTGCAGAATGTTGGGCCATTCTATTCCTTTAAAATTCAGTTTACATTAACCTACATTACGTTCTGTTTTAACACTTTCATCGATAAACATTACACAACTTCGCCTCTAGCTTACAAATCCACACAGAAGTACAGACAAGAAGCTCAATGGGCTGCGCGCAGTGGTTCACGCCTGTAATCCCAGCACTTTGGAGGCCAAGGCGGGCAGACTCACCTGAGGTCAGGCGTTTGGGACCACCTGGCCAACATGTGAAACCCTATCTCTTCTCAGAAAATACAAACTAACCTAGCCAGGCGTGTGGTGGCAGGTGCCCATAATCCCAGCTACTTGGGACGCGCGAGGCAGAAGAACCACCTGAAACTGGGAGGCAAGGGTTGCAGTGAACCAAGACCCACACCATTGCACTCCAGCCTGGGCAACAAGAGTGGAAACTCCGTCTCAAAAACAAAAACAAAAACAAAAAAAAGGGCGGCGCCGGTGTGCCTCAAGCCTGTAATCCCAGCACTTTGGGAGCCGAGACGGGCGGATCACGAGGTCAGGAGATCGAGACCATCCTGGCTAACACGGTGAAACCCCGTCTCTACTAAAAATACAAAAAAAAAACTAGCCGGGGAGGTGGCGGGCGCCTGTAGTCCCCAGCCTCCGGGAGGCTGAGGCCGGAGAATGGCGTGAACCCAGGAGGCGGAGCTTGCAGTGAGCTGAGATCCGGCCACGGCACTCCAACCTGGGCGCAGAGCGAGACTCGTCTCAAAAAAAAAAAAAAAAAAAAAAGAGCCGGGTGCAGTGACTCACGCCCGTAATCCCATAACTTTGTGAGGCCAAGGTGGGTGGATCACTGGAGGTCAGAATTTCAAGACCAGCCTAACATGGTGAAACCTCATCTTTACTAAAAATACAAAAATTAGCCAGGCATGGCGGCATGTGCCTGTTATCCCAACTACTCAGGAGGCTGAGGCAGGAAAATCGCTTGAACCTGGGAGACAAAGGTTGCAGTGAGTCAAAATTGTGCCATTGCACTCCAGCCTGGGAGACAAGTGCAAAACTCCATCTCAAAAAAAAAAAGCAGCCCACGTGGCTGGTCCTCGGGAGCACGTGTGCCACTGGCCCCACAGCAGGATGTGCCTGTCTTTCTAGTTTTTACTCTCACTCTATCTGCCCTCTAGACTGGTCACCCGTAAAAGAGGAAACCCACTGGTGGTGGGTGTAACCCAGTCCACTGACGCAGTCAGTACCTCACTGAAGGGCGTGCAGACCTGTATCTGCTCATAACTATAATAATCCACCATTCCTCTCTGCCGCCTTGCATCCTACAGGCCAGAGACAGTTATGAGTTCATAAGAGTGTTGCTCAGAGCATTAAAAGATTACATATGCTATTAGCATGAAACTAGCAGTAACGGTTTGCAACCAGAAAGCACTGTGAATAGACATGTGTCATAACATCAGTCACTATAAATCCAGCACAGCTCACCGGGAAACTACTGCAAACAAAGGATCCCAGGAGTCTTGACTCAGGGTGCCTGGCACATATAAATATTTAAAGATTAAAGCAATGTCCGAATCACAGAAGTGAAGGAAGTTACTGAGGCTGGTCAAGAGCTAATCCTGTGTGCAACGAATTCTCACTCTCACGACCATCTAGTAACATCTTTCATCCCTGGATTTTCCAGGTGGGTGGGTGATAAAGGGGCCCTAGAGCCTGGGCAGGGATCTGAGCTACACACCTGTCCTTACACACAGCACAGAACCCTCTGAAAATCACTTTCCAGGAAAACCACCGGGACCTCCACCAAGCCTGCCCCTCAGCTACAATCCCAGACACGCCCCAGGAGAGCCGGGGGGGGGGGGGGGGGGGTGTCAGTCAGCCACGCCCACCCGGGAGTGGAGAAGACACCCCCAAAACAAGGGGAGGAGCATCAGGGCCACGCACACCTGGGAGTGGAGAAGACACCCCCAAAACAAGGGGAGGAGCATCAGCAAAATGACAGCCGCTCACCACAGGCTTCCCGTTCGACCACCGACGAATTACAAACCGGCACGGGATACACGGGTGGAATGTGGACTCTGCTGCGCCACTGAACATTGGCACCTGCACATCTGGTCCTCCTGAAAACTTCCTAGCAAAAGAAAACTTGTGTTTTGCTTTGTGATGTCTTTGCTTCTGCCTTGCGGGGGTGGGGTGATGATATGGAAACGACCGTGTGTGGCTACGTGTGCAGTCCCCCCTGGCCCCTCAGGTAAAGGGTCTTGTCCATCCCCTCTGTCATCACTGTACCTCACGTGGCCTCCACCACAGCACGTCATGTCTGCCACTGTGTGTGTGCCCATTACACGGCGAGATCCTTGAAGGCAAAGACTCATTCCCCATCTGCCTCCTACCACCTTGAATACTCCCAACTCCTAAAGTGCCAACGCGGATTTAATTTGCCGAATTAAATCTCCAGTTCTGCTGAGTACATTCCTCGGCTACAAAGCTAATGGTTCCAAAACAAAGTGATCAAGTATTTGAATCCTTGAGCGTCAATAGTCCCTTTTAAAATACAGAAAACTCTAAACGATTCCCGCTGAAACATCTGAAAGCTTCAGTTCCAATGAGGGAGTCCAGGGAGTTAGAAACTGGAAGAGCAGCATCACGACACAGCCCAGGCACCACCACCTGAACAGAAAGGATGGGACGACCAGCAGGACCCGACTCAGTCATTACAGGCAGAACATGCAGAGAACTGCTGCAGAGGCCCACAGCGACGACACCCGGGCCTTACACTGACCAAGGAGGAGGAACATAGCCAACGATGCTCAGGTCCACCGAGAGGGCATGCCAACACGGTGACAGCCAGCTGCACCAAGCTCTCTGAGTCCAGTGCAGTCACAGATTCGGCTCACGTAATGCCCCTGCTGGCGTCCAAGCAGCCCACCCCCCCAGAACGGGGACCCCGAGACGGCGACTGAAAGTCACAAAGACGGCCCCTGTTTATAGGCAGCTCCTCCTGAAGCCGGACCAGAGAGAGAATTCACTAACTGCCTGGAGTTTGCTGACAGCGATACTTCTCCCTGTAGGGCAATAAGCTGGCAGTCTCGGTCGATCCTCAGTCTTGCTTGATTTTTAGTTAAAATTCGGAATGACTCAGTCATCAGGGCCTCATTACCTCAGACGACTGACAAAAGCCAATCTCCGGGCAGCAAGGAGGAGGAGCAGCCAGTTGCCAGTGCATCACAGAAAGCTGTTATTAGGAACATGACTCGCTTTTGATTTTATTTTTTAAATAAAGAGGCCAGTCTGATCAGTCTCACTTATGATCACTTGCACTCCTACATCTCTAGAGGGAAGAGATGGCACAAAGCTGTCACTTAGAACTCAGAAAGATACACACAACCCTAGGTTCACAGCTGGGTAACATCAAGGGACTTCACACTGCAAAACCACCACCTCAGGCACCTACAGGACGTTCTGCTTCCCCTACACCTGAATTCTGTATACAGACATTCACGGCTCCATCTACTCCACCTCGTTTCAGCTGTCCTATCGGGTATGACAAACAACAGAGCACAGCCAAAGACCAAACACGATTTCCCAGGAAGACAGTACCTGGTGGAGGCCACACTAGTATCCAAAAGTAAACAGAGATCTATACACAAAGTTAAAACCAAAAGCAAGCTTCACGTCACTGCAGAGACGTAAAGGGCAGGCTTGGAAGTTGGCCTCAGCTCCCGACCCTCCACCACTTAGCTGTGAGATCCTGGGCTAAAGATTTAACCACTTTTAGCCTGTCTCCTCCCGTAAAACAACGAGAAAATGAGTGCAAAATTTTGCCAGGATTAAATACAACAAGGCACAGAGTCCTGTCCCATGTCTCCAACAAAATGGCAGATAATTAATGACTTTCCCTTCTATTGTTGCTTGTCAAACATCGCTACAAGTAAACAGCCAACGTACGGATGTCTCCACGTGGGAAAGTGCTACCATCTCTTTTTTCTTGTTTCTTTTTTCTTTTTTAGAGACAGACGTCTGCTTAGTTTGCCCAGGCTTGGAGTGCAGTGGCGCCGATCTCACGGCTCACTGCACACCCTCCGCCTCCTCGGGTTCACGCCATCCTCCCTCCCTCACGCTCCGAGTACGCCTGGGACTCGAAGGCGCGCCGCCGCCGTCGCCCTGGCTAATCTTTTTTTGCTTTTGAGTAGCAGACGGCTTTCACCCACGTGTCTCAGCACGACCATCGTCTCGATCCTCCTGACCCAGTGATCGCCCCCTCGGCCACTCCCAACCAGCTGCTGGGATTACAGGCGCATGAGCACCGCCGGGCCTTACTTTTTTTTTTTTTTTGAGACTGAATCTGCTCTCTCAGCTCAGGCTTCGCGAGAGCAGTGCGCGATCTTGCTCACTGCAAGCTCCACTTCTGGTTCAGCGCCATTCTCCCTGCTTCAGCCTCCTGATAGGCTGGACTTCAGGTGCCGCCACCACGGCCAGGGTAATGTAAATCTCGTATTTTTAGTAGAGCGCGGGGTTTAACCGTGTTAGGCACAGCGGACTGGTCTCGGCCTCGGCCAACAGTTGCTGCGGAATTACACGCTGAGCCACAATAAGCACCCGGACCATCGCTACTATTATCTATACAGCATGCGGCGGGAGGCCGAGGGGAGAGGGAAGTCCTCTATCAATCTAGAGATAGAGTCAAATAGCAAATATCAATATATATACTTATCCTATACAACGAAAATAGCAACAGAAAAAGCTAATAAAGCGGTTATCGCTCTCTCGCATGTCCCTTTAAAGACTTCAACATAACCACCCGACGACGGTCGTGGCTCTCACACCTCAACCCCGCATCTACGCCCGCGTTCGGCCGGTGGGGACGTCCTCTGCGCGCTCTCTCACCCTGCGGCACTTACCGCACCCGCCACCAGCTCTTCACCTCGAGTCGCCCTGTCAACTCTCTCTCCAGTGACAATAAACTGCAACCTCTACCAATCAGGCTCTCCGCTACGCACCCACATCTTACCCTATCCATCAGATTCCCCCTGGTGCATTACACTCCCAGCCACATCTTCCTCCGCCTTAAAACGCCAACCTTCTCCGCCTCCAGGATCTTCAAACTTTCTGCCTGAGCGTGTTTTTCTCACAATTTTGCCGCTGCACTTGTTCCTCCCGCTCTCATAGAGCCTTAGCACACGACAGTCGCCCGCCCCAGGGCTCCACCCACACCCCGCGCCGGTACGCGCCCCGCTGCGCCCGCACCTGCGGCGCCCCCCCCGTGCTCGGTGACTCTCGCGGGGCGGGACCAGGCCCCACAATGACCAGCGACCCGCCACCACCTGAGCATTGTCGGGTTTCATCACCCGTCGACAACGCCCGGCGCACTCGCCTCCTGGCACGCTGGAATCGGAGCACATAGTCCGCCAGCGCAAAGGCAACGAAGAACGCTGCTCGGACTCCTGAAACCCGCTCCCACGAACCACCGACACAAGCTCAGCTTGTCAGCCCGCAAGGGCACCAACTAAAGCACACAGCACTGCCGAGCGTGCAGCTGGACAGCTTCAGCGACATGCCGCGCTCGTCACGGGCGCGACACGCATCC